ATGAACTTTGAACATCATGGACCGAATGGACTTGGCAGCATTATAGGGATTGGTCCATGCACTAAGAAAATGATCTTTTCCTCTTGGTCTGTATGTATATGGATGTATATATGTGGGAGAGCGATGGTGTATTGAAAATGTGGGATCTGAGCACGACATGAATGGTATGGAATAAGGGGTGGATAATGTCCTGGGTTCAGCAGTAGCAGTCATGTTTTTTCCTTTGTGTTAACTGGTGCAGTGCTGTGTTTTGACTTGCAGCCTGGGAACAGTGCTGGTGAAACCGATGTTTTCGGTTGTTGCTAAGTGATGTTTACCCTGACCAAGGACTTTGTGAGGCTCATGCTCTGCCAGGGAGGAGGGGAAGCTGTGAGGAAGCAGAGACGGGGCGCCTGACCCGGGCTAGCCAGGGAGGTATTCCATACCACAGCACATCATGCCCGGGGTGGGGGGTAACTGGGAGTTACCGGGAAGGACACGGGCTTCTGGGTGGGACTCGTTTCTTGGCCGGTGGTATCGTATTCTCTTCCCTTGTTATTTTCTCTTATCATTGTTGTTGATGGTGGTAGTGGTGGTGATTTGTGTTGTACATTGGTTGCTGGACTGCTCTTGTCTCAACCCGTAGGAGTTGCACCCGTTCGATCCTCCTCCCTGTTCCTCCAGGAGGGGGGAAGGGGAGAGCCCTGGGGCGGGGGGGGCCTCGATTGTTGTCAGCCCAGCACCACTCACTGGGAGTGAGTGAACAAGTTACCTGACTGTGTTTAAACCATGACAGGTGAGTAGAGTTTTTATTTGATAGAAAAACTGAGACACAGAATGCTTTCCAGGAAGCTGGACTAAAGCTTTTGAGTTGAAACCAGTGTCCAGAATTTCTAACTTTAAATGTTATGCTCAATCTGGCTAGCATTTTTACATGGTTGCATGTCTCTGCCATGTTCATTACCTGTTAATAGTAAGTTGAGGGGAAGTTGTTCTTGCCGAGGGACTTTCCCTGCTATTCAACCCAAAATAAATCTCTAAATGCACGCTGAAGAAAATAGCAGTATTTTCTCTGCTAGTTTGAGGCTTTACAGTAGGGTAAATACTGGCGTCCTTATATTCAGTAAATGGCTGGTTTTAGTTGGTTGGATCTGGGTAACATCCCTCATTCCCTAAAGATTAACTTTCCGTAAAGCTTGCCTTTCTTTCTCTTTAGTGGGAGTGTATACAGGTTAAAACTCCCTTTAGGTCACAGCTGTTTTTTTCAACAGCACAGCAGTGTCATGGTTCATAAATTAAGAGGTCAATTGTTTGCCACTGAAGCTGAAAATAACTCCCTAAAGGTTAGGCCTCTGAGAGACTCAGAGTTTCAGTGGCAATGGTCCTTTGAAAAGAATATTTTCTGGTACTTATCAGGAATGAAACAACAGTGTGATGCCTTATCACTTTGGACTCAATAGTGTAGAAACCTTTGTGGTGCTGTTTGTGGTGTCACTGACATTTCTACTGTTGGTTACAGAGAGAGTTAAACATATGTCGCATAAACTCTAGCACTGACAAAATGTAAGTTCCAGTCTTCTTCCTTCCCAAAGAAAATAATGCTTTTGTGGAATACAGCTAAAACCAATGCTCTTCACTCAAGCAGATGTACCAAATCTCAAGGCCTGCTTCACTCCATGCGTGTAAATGGGTAGGTGTAATGTGAATCTAGATAGCCTGACTACCAGGTCACAAACCATTGTGTTCATTATGAAAGTCATCAAAACTACCCAGGACTGTGTTCCAGACTATGAGGATATGTCACCAGGAGTCTGAAAGCCGCAATGTCTTTGTACAGGCATCTCTCTCCATTCAGTCTGCTACTGCAGCAACCTTTCTTGAGCACCACTGCTGCAGTGGCTGTGGGCAATAGAGGGTTTAACCAAGCAGAGAAGGTTTTTTTTGGTGTCTTTGTGTTGGATGAGGCTTTTTAGTGCCTCAGAAATGGAAGAGGAAATGGATGTACTCCCTGCAGCAATGACTGTTTTCTCTGTTGTGTTAATTGCTTTGTACTATGCGAATTAAGCAAGTTTCTTGCTTAACTGTACCTGACAACCAATAGATCCACAGTCTTCTATGAGAGAACTTAAAGGAGTATCTTACACAGTACTTCCTTGCTAATCTTTCAGAAAATACTTTTGGATAAAAAAAGGAAATAGCTGGGAGTCTGTTTAATTTTTAATTTCATTATTAACTTCTTGCTTGTAAAGTCCAGTTTATTGTGGATGAAGATGACAGGCTGGAGCAGCAGCATTACCCTCTTAGTTGTGGTGGCAGTGCACAGCTGCAAAGAAGCCCCAGGCAGTGACTCTGGCCACAAGCATGCAGTATTCCCAGATTATCTTTGTTTCTTTTATAGGAAGTAGTGTTTTTTGTTTGTTTGTTTTTGTTTGTTTGTTTGTTTTTGTAATGGCATGGACATGCTTATCATGTTCTTATGAACTTGATCATAAGAACCACTAGGCAAGTCTCCATGCAAGCCTTGTGAATTTTCAGCCTCCTGCAGAATCAGCTTCCTATCAACATATCAATCCTTATTTTCCTGTTCACTGTCTGACCTTGCATTGTTAATCTTATTACATTTTTAACCTTGCTTTTTTATGTTTAGGAAGAACATAAGTAAGTGAACTCAAGGGCTTTCCCACATTTGCAGTAGTTAAGTGAATCTTTATGGACTTGAATATACATAGGCTAAGGAAGGATGAAAAGGTAGATTTAATATTTCCCTTTTTAAACGTAATCTTTATCATGTTCTCCTCAGCCTGCATTAGAAACTGGAGAGTGGACTGCTGCAGCCAGGTACTGCTGCTCACAGAATAAAATTTCTGCCATTCAGTAAATACCTGGGAAGTAATTGTTATCTTTTTCACCCACAGTTCAGCAGATCTTCCTGTGTGCAAGAAAATTGAGATTTGGGATTAGCACAAGTCTTTTTTTACTCTGAGAACCTCACCCTCCGTACAGGAGTATTGACTGAATGTGCAGATGACAGTGTGCAGTTCAGGACTTTGCTCATCAACTCAAAAGTTATCAAGTTGAAATGAAAGAGGAGAGATTGGGGTTTGTATGTGTGTGCCTCAGGTACACTTTTCCTCTTGTCCAAATAAAAGCCTGGAAAGAAAGGGACTGATTTATTGTTAAAGAAAGCTTACAGAAAAGAGTTGACTGATTACCTTCATGTCAACAGTCTGAGCTGCACAATTTTAGCTAGTAATTAAAAAGGAATACATACTGTGCTTAAGTTCCATTCACAGGAAACCGAACTATTCTCTTCCCTGTGTGAACAAATGTTGAAATAAAAAGGCTTAGTATGCGTATAAAGTGAATGTCTTCTTTTCAGTGCTCTGGCATTTCTCAAGAAAAGCTTTTGTAATTTCAGTCTATCCTTTGGATAATGTCTCTGATAGACTGCAAAAACAAATTGTAATTAAGGTGTACAATCAGAAATTAGATACCAAGCTCGTTGCTGAAGTAATCAAAATGGTTTGAAAAGAACTTCTGCAATTATGTTTTGGATTATTGGGACAGAGACCCATATACTTTAAAGTAAGCTGCCACTTTTTTAATCAGCCTGTAAGTACAGTTATGTTGATGATCCTAACCAGACCACTGGGCAATACAAACAGGCCATTCATCATGGTGAATTAGAAGCTACATTCCAGCAAGCACAAACACAAACATACAAGTGAACCCATAGTCATCTACAGGACTTAGAGGAGGTAAATACTCCTGAAACCCAGGACAGTATAACAATCTGATGTTAGTATTGTACCTCAAGGAATTTTTTTTTTCGCCTAGTGTTTTTTTTACAAGCAAATATATCACAGATTGTATCCTATTACACATGGTGTAGCTTTGAGTTCATTTTAATTTCTCACAGTCATCTGTTTTCTTCATCTGCCTTCAAGTCATGCCACAGTTAACATCTGTTGATTCTTTTCTTCCATACTATTGACTTCAGTTTTGCATTTTTATAGTGCAGTTTTGTTTCCGTATGAGGGTCTAACTCAGCTTGCTTGTTCAAAAGAGGGCAAGGGGAAATAACATACTGCAGTTACTGTCATGCTGGATTTGGCCCATGCTTACAAAGGAAACCTGAGTCAGAAGCTCTTCCCCATGCTGTCCTTCTTCCACTGCGGCTGGGCTGAACATCTGCTTGTCCCCTGTGCTTAAAAGTGCTTTTAGTTCCTGTGCTGAAATGGGCATAGGGTCATCTGTCCCTGGTAATTCTGTCTCTGTATTGCAATTTGCTTCTGTACTCTGAAAATGTGGCTTGTGAAGTTTACTTCTCAGGATGACCAACGAGCCACTGTGTGGTAGCAAATTTTACTTAGATTCCCACCAACCAGTCTAAGCTGCAAATCTGATATGAATCTCATGACAGAAGGCTGGAGAGATAGCTTGAATTTTACAAGGTATTAAATAATTGATGGCACTTGGCCTATAGCCTTCCTCTATCCTGCTTTTCTGAATGGGGATAAGAAATTAGAATTTGAATAGTCATGGATTTTCCCTTGTTGCAACTGCAATTAGTCAGTAAAATGAATATATGTTATTTGAATCCTTAATATTTTAACACATAACAGGATTTTCAACAGCAGTTAACCAAACTTTTCAGCTTGTAAATAATATCACATTTATAAGAAGGCAATATGCATTACTATTAAATTGTTAATTCACCTGATTTTAATTTCATCACCCACCTTGAAACAAGAGCAGACCTGTTTTGTTATCATCTTAAAAAGGAACTTAGTCACGTCTGTATTTTTATAAGGACTCTTTTTCTTTTCATGTGGGAAAACTGATTGATCTGAAAAGATTTTAGGTCACCCCTTTGTCTATTAATCTTTATAAATGAGTGTGTGTGTGTGTGTGTGTGTGTGTATGTGTTGAAGCAAATAAGCTAACAGAAGTGGGGATTTAAAATGAGCAAACCTTATTAACAGGAACGCAGTTTTTAGTCCCAGCAGACTTAACTAGCAGAAGGGGAAGGGAAGATCTGGGGCTGGCTGCCAGTGAAGCATTGCTGAGTGTTAACACTCCAAGGCATCTCAGAATGCCCTTATCATAGGGAGCCTGAAAGTGTTTGAACTCTGTGACTCTGCAGTCAGGAGCAGTCTTGCAAGGAAAGAGTGTTTACTGAGGATCTGGAGTAGGGAGAAAACTACAGCCAAGCTGACCAGAAAGACTGGAATTTCATCTACCTCTGCCTGTCCCCTCCCCCTCTCTGTCTCCCACTCACTGGATTTCTTTCTCTGCCAGCCTTTTAAACCAGAGATTACTGGGTCAGTGACGTTCATTATTCTTTTTATTCTAGTATGATCTCGTGTTTGGCCGCCTGGAGAAACGCTGCTACCTGTAAGTATCTGCTTCAAGTTTATAGTATACACTTAATACTGTCATGCTTGTGTTTGTAACAGTGTTTAACACTTGCAACATTCAGTTTGCTGCTGAATGTTGCAGAAAAGCAGTCGGACAGTAATGTTTATACTTTGAATGGATGAAAGCTCAGTTCTAACTTTCGAGGAAAGCAGGCACTTGGCTCTTGCCAGTAGTTTAGCAGGAGTTAACTTGGAAGTTAAGCATTCGAAGCAACTTAGTTTTTTCTAATATTCAAGCTGATACAGATTTCTCAACTATGCTGGCTTTCTTCCATCAGCTCTAATAAAACTACATAGTTTTCTCTTTTATAAAAGCTTGGAAGCACAAAGCAAAATTTCTTTTCTTAAATTGGTCTTTTTAGTAAGATACACTGGGAGAGATGTAACAAAAAGAACTGAAAAACATTCAGTATTAGTAAGTCTTTCTAAAGGAGGTATGTAATTTAGCTGGGAGAACTTATTTTTTAAATGCATACTTTAAAACTGTAAACTTTTATTTTGCAGTAGAGATCTGTGAGAGTTTTCACATTTCCATGTACATTCAGACAGCTGACTTCATTCATCTGAATTAGACAGATGTTCATTGGTCGTATGTATGTGTAAATATTTATGTGTGTTTCAGGGAAGTCACATACATGCTTGCACAGTTTTTGCATTTCCTGCTGCGTTCTACGCATTTATCTAAAACCAAACTCAAAAACATCACCCCTTAATGGTTAGTTGCTGTAACTCTATGTTGTGCTGAGACACTTCAACAAATTCTGTAGGTTATTATACACAGTTTCTTGGAACAGTTATTAAAAAGTGATTTTGCAAATTATTTTTGCTAGTTAGAAAATTCTACTAGTTCACCATCTCAGCTAACTCAGGACTGAACATTACCTTAGACAAAATGCATCTCTGCTGTTGACATATGTCCAAGGTGTCTGTGGGAGGCATTGAAACTGCAAATCTCCAGTTGCTTTCACAGTAAAAGAACACACACATTTCCTGTTGTCTCATCTCTTTTCCCTTACTTGGCTGTTACTGCTGTGTGCCTGCCAGCATTTTCTTGATGATTTTTTCCTAGGGTTTAGTTTTGCATGCAACATGACTGCATGCAAATTGTTTTGACCCAGAGAATGAGGAGTTTTGGGTCTGGGCTCCTTTAGGTTTTGAATATTTTCTCCAGCATAGATCCCTGCTCTCAGGAGAATTAGTCAAGTCTAAGGACAAATGATAAAACAAGTGCCTGGACAAGGACTGATTTTTTTTTTTTAAATGAGAGTACCTCATACCTGTTCATTCATTACATTTATTTTCTGCAGTCCTTGAAGTAGTCTTGATAACAGTAATCTTTGATATTAGTTACACTACAACAAGGAAAAAGAAATGGTTATGGATTTCATCAACCTAACATTGAATTTAGATGACAACAACTATGTGTAGTAAAGACTTCACAGTAAAATAGCACATGCTAGTCAAGTAGTGACACATTAAAAGTGCAATCCACTTGACTGTACCTGTTGAACATAAAGGGAGATTGAGCAGATGATTTGTCATCAATACTTTAACTTTTCTTCTCTAATTTTTTGAGATTGTGTGGCAGTCAGTTGTGGACCCAGATGAATTTATCTCATGTTAATGTCTGTGTGAGCTACAGTTACTGTAGCTGGGGTGTCCTTGCAAAACTTCATGCTTTCACACATTGCAACACGAGATCCTCAGGGCGATTCAGCTACCTTTTGAGCAGTTGGGTAAAAAAACGTGAAAAGACTACAGCTGGGAAGTTGTTAAACACTCCCTAACAAATGTGTTATTTCAGTCTCTAGTTGCTGTGATTTTGAAGTCTGCAACAGTAGTTCAAAGAACTCTAATAGCTGTCTGTGAAGATAAACTGTTGCTGCATTGTGTTTGATTTTCTGACAAACGTTGTCTAAAACCATTATGCAATTACATGAGCTGAATGGCTGTAGCTGCACTGTGCAGGCATCCTGAATGTGTAAGGATATACATATGTAAATGAAAATTCTTAGCTAAAGAGGAATCATGGGTTTGTTTTGTTTCTTTCACTGGATCTAGATTAAATTTGATGAGATGTGTGACTTTCTAGTGTATGATAGTTGTTTATTAAACATAATTTGAAGGTAATCATACCACATCTAAGTAACCTATATGCTTCACAGAAGAATCTGAAATCACTTTAGATTTGTATGCATGGACATCAAACTCCCAGTGAGGTCCCCATCTTTGCAAACCTAATTTTGTATCTGGGCCAAATCTATCCTCTTTCCCTAAGATAGCTATACAAACTGGAAGGGAATGCTTTTTGGAGACACATTTTTTGCTCCCATAATATAGCAATAATTCTGGCATAACCTTCGAACGAGCACCTAAATTTCACATATGTAAGGCTCAAAGAGATGAACCAAGCCACTGTGTTTGTGGGAAAGTGTAAACCATACCATCTACCAGCTGTTAAAATTTAAGCATTCAAAAAAATCCTCTGTGTAACATGTGCAGCAGATTGCAAGTCCTTTTTTTTTGCACTGTGAAATGGGGCACATCCTCCAGTGAGCTTGTTTTTGTGAAGAACAGTCTGAAAAGCCTTCCTTCTCAAAAAAAAAATCAAAACATCTGCTATTACCCTCAAGGATCGGTCAGCTCAAAGCTCAGCCTTCTCCCTCACTCTTTTAACCATGCAGTCAACAGCAGTGCATCAATTATTCTAAACCCACTAAAACCACATGCTGCGCTTCAGGTAGGTTTCTACCAGTAAAAGGGGGTCTGCCAGAGGCGGAAGTCCCTTGCCATGTCATTGGTCTGTACCTCCAAGTAGAGCAGGGTTGCATGCTACCACGCACAACTTACTGAGGACAGGAATGTAAGTGTAACACTATGGAGATGTGCAAAATGTCGGTGGTATTGCATTTCACCCCCGCTGCCCAACAATTGTTGCGCTGAAGTGCCAGTCCTTGCAGTTGGAGGCGTAGCGAAACAATGTTACTGTTGGGCAGCTGGTTACAGGTTCCTCGTCTCTGCGCCTTCACCTTTCTGTCGCCTGAGCAAGATCCTTTTACTGCTTCTTTTATATGGATTTTGACACCTCACACTTGTGGATCAGAGATGCATTCACTCTCTGGTAGCGCTGCTCTGCCATAACTCAAGCTCATCTATAGCACTTCATGTGAGAGATCTGACCATAGCTTGCAAAGAGCGTGGGGATCCAGAGTTAGAAGCCTTCTGTTGTCAATATTAGGTACTGAATGCAGTACTGTTGTTTCTTTCTTCACTCACCAAATTTATGGCTCAAGGTGAAGCTAATCATTTTGTCCTTGTAACGCAAGCACAGTGGTCGCTGACTAATCCTAGGCTGCTTGCTGAGTTTCACTAGTTTCTTTTCTACCCATTACTAGATTCTTACTGAAATGAAATGTCTTTTCAAAGTCAATGGACTTGGGGGATTTCCTCTATCTACTACACTCTCTTCGGCCATCTACAGTTTCCATTATCAGGGGTGGTTTAATTTTATTTTTGTGTCATTCTCCGGGTGGATTAGGGAAAGTCATCCCACTACCCACATGTTGTTATAGACTGCTCCTCTCAGACCAAAGCCAAGAGAGGGAAAAGAAAAAAAAAAAAAAAAAAGAAGAGAACTGTTATCTACCATTTGTTAACTCAGAAAATAAATACCTTGCTGAAGTTCCTATGTGACCTGTAATCCTTTTTTGTAGCACACAGAAAAAAACCCAGTCAAAGCAGTGCATATGTTAATTGCACATTCTGAAGTGACAACCCCCTAATTTAACAGCTCAGGATCCTTCCATTGCCCTGGGCTAAGGTTTAATTGCTGTAATAATATTGGTCTTGTTTCATAGAAATCGTGGAAGGCTACTATTTTGTTTTTTTCTTTAATCCCATCATCTAAAAAAAAAGAAAAAACCCAATGTTCTTTCTGTTTCTTGTAAACTTTTTCTGGTGTTCATTAAAACAAACCAGTCCAACTCCCAGCCCACAACAGTCACTTTCCATAATCCCCTTCAAGCCTGGCAAAAGAAATGGGCAATTTTGGATCCAATTGTTCAGTGAAATCTCCCAGGCAACCAAAGATTTTGTCACACACAGAGAAACTCTTGCGATCTCATCCAAATCCAATTGGAGACTTTGAGTGTCATTGATATTTGGTTCAAGGTCACTAGTGATTTAGATTTCTTTGTGGGTGCTCTTAAGGATTTAATGCAGTTCTCCACATTCCAGAAGCCAGTGAGCACTTGTCAAATTAGGAAGTTTTGTCAGCTAATTTGTGATTATGATAACTCTACAGCAGTCCTTTTTTTAGTCTCTCTTTTTTTTTTTGTTTGTTAAGAATCTTGAAAGCCAGTTGTATTTGGTAGGAAGTGAGAATATTAATGTTTTCAATTAACCATTGCATCCTTTCTCACATCTGTACGAGCAGCCCTGGGGAAAAACTAGTTCTTTTGGCATTTGGAGGAAATCTTAAACAAACCACATCTGAAGGTCTCAGTAACCCTCCCCTACATTGTTCCCATTCTGGTCTGTCCCTCTGTTACACCCACCACTTCTTCAGAGACTCCTTCTCCATTTACCTTTTCCTCTGGGCTCATCTGCAGATGGGGCAACAGTCTGCCAGCAGATGAGGAGATCCTCAGAGATCCCCTTGCCAAGTCTCCCTTTTGCTATGCCTTGGACACGTCTCTGGGACTCTTTTTCCCAGCCCCCAGATCTCAGGGTCAGCTTGGCCAGTCAATCTCTTATTATGGGAAAGGTCTTTGTTGTCACATTTTTTATACCAGTCTGGTTTTATACTGGATCTCATGGGAATTAGTGGAGAGTTTGTGTGGTACAAAGCAGTATTCTGCAAAAATATACCAGGAAATTAACTTGGGTCCAGAAAGCCAGACAACACTGTCTTCTGCTCCTTTCAGAGCCTTTCTGCTGTTAGTATTTGATGCAGCAAAGAAACCGTCACCTGTGCCTGGGGTTTGTGCTGGCACCCATTGCTGGGGTTTATAAGGCAGGCACCAGAAACTGATCAACTGAACATCAGAGCTGAGGTGCAGAAGTCCCTGTATGAAACTTCTGGCAGTGCCTGTTGCAGACAGACAGCTTGTAAGCACATATGGAAGGTGAAAAGAGAGTAATACACTTCCCAAACAGTGCTATTTCTGAACTGGTGATTAGGCAGTCTCTGAACTATAATGTGTTTTTGTGGTTCTATACAGGTGGCAGTGGAGAAATTCGGAACTGCTCAGGCTTCAATTTTATAATTTCTCATAAAGTACTTAGTGCCCTATGAATAAAGGCATTTTGTGTTGTAAGTCAATGCCCTTACCTGATACTATGGAGCATGAAGTTACTGGCATTTTCATGGCTATAAACCACCGGGTCTATGCTTCAGTTATTGACTGCTTCTCAGCACTTTGACAGGTTCTAGTTGGAGTCTAAAATTTCTAATCACTTTCTTCTTATCTGAGCCCCACTGTGGCTTCAGAAACTGGCTCTTCTCTGAAACAAGCTGAGACTTATTCATGCACTGCTGGTTCGTCAGGGTCTGGAATCAAAGGATTTAAAATCCATTGCAGTTCCTGTGCCAGGATGTTCCTGCTGGACAAGTATCCTGACATGCCTGAAGTCAAAGGAGACAGTAGGCAGAACATCTTCTTGAGACATGTGCCAAGAAAGTTATTTCACTTCCCTTAGACCTAGCTTCACTTTGATGCAGAAAGTGGGAAAAGGGCACAGCAACAGAGAAGGTTTTTGCTCAGAATATGTCTCCATGCTTTGCAGCTGGTATTTTAAGGAAACACAGGTTATATTGGATAAATGCTAGCAACCCGTGCACTATGTGACAAACGCCGATCAAATATTCAGGTTAAAAGGATGCGCTTGCTGCAAACCATACATTCTCACCTGAAGGCTGAAGTGCAATCTGTTTTTCTCCCCATCTTTCCAAGTTGTCCTTTATGGGATTTAGGCTGTGTTTCAAAACTGTGAATTTTAGGAAGCTGATTGCTGTCTCAGATGTGGTTATTTCAGTAAAGTGCTATGCATAGCCATCCCACTAAAGAGAAACAAAAACTAGCAAGTACTTTGGGCACATTTACATATCTGGGTTTTAGTGTAAGCTGTCTGGGTAAGTAAACTTTATTAAAAGGAATTGAGATTTTGAACAAATTAAAAAACTTTTGAACATGAATTTCATTCCTTTTCCTCTGGCTGGAACTCTACATTTCCTCTCAGACTTTGTTCAGACTGATCTGGCTGCACAATTTTAGACCAAAATTGAAATAGTTTCAGGTAAAAAGCTAGGAAAGCAGCATTGAAATTTGTGGCCCAGACTACATGGTCAACATACATCTAACTTCAGATGTTAGTTCCAGTGTCTTCAGTCTTGAATCTGAGCTGAAGTGAGTGGGTCTGTCTTGTGTTATTTTAGGAAGTTACTAATTTTAAAGAAATTCGTGACTACTGGTCACTTTTCACTGAGAGGTAAAACTGGGCAGATATATGTATACAATTGTAGTCTGTTTAGAAGTTCATCCTGCCAGAAACAGCAGAGAAAACACCTGTTAACAGCAATGAAGAAAATCAAGATATACACGGATCTTGTTTTTCACTCACTTTCAGGAAATCTCACAGACGGTGGTAGGACTGGGGTTAAATCAGACTGTACAATTTAGTAGTCAGGGTACTAAAAATTTACAAGAGACAAAAGGAATGTTGATGTTTCACTAGCTTGAAATACTCAAGATCTTATGAAATTTAATTAAATTAATACCATTGCCTATTCTTTGGGACATACGTTCTGTTACTTTGGAGGGCTGTAGAAATTTGGGTCTTACAAGGATTTCAGTTGGACTTGCTCAATATCAGAACTCTGTTTTTTGTATAAGTTTATGAAAATGAAAGATGAAGATTAACTGGAATTGGAGGGCATGAGGAACTTTTCTATTTTTTTTTCATATTACATTTTGTTCCTTTTCTTCACTGAAATGCTTTCAGAATGATTACTTTTTGTGTGCATGAAAAAGAAAAACCTCAGCTTTCATATGCTTCCATGTTGATGTCCTGGCATAGTTACTTGCTGTATCAGAAAGAGTAAAGAGTCACTTGCCATGTGTTTTGAATGGAAGTTTTCCCCCACAAATTCAATGGCAAAGAAAAAATGGATTTAACAAAAGGCCATTTTTCTGTTATCCCATTTTCAGGTATATTTAACCTGGGCAAATGTCTACTCCTTCATTTTCGCATTATTTGGATCCTCAAACACTTTTATAAATATCTACTCAGTCCAGCAGTAAAAAAGGCTGGTAACAAAGGATACTATACAACAAATGTTCATTATGTATCATATGGATCAAAGGTGTCTGGAATTCATATTGAGAGCTGACCTGTTGAAGGAGGGAGTCTCATTGGTACATAGCTAATTTTCTGAGCATGTGTGCTTTTAATAGCATTCAAACGTGAATTCAAGCTGCTGCTTGCGATGAACTGCAATTCTAAGAAATTATTTTTTTTGTGTGTGTGTGGTTATTTTAATTCCCCCCCCCCTCCCTAATTTTCTTTCTTTTTCCCCCCCAGGATTAACAACACTTTAAAGCACTCTGAGGACACATTCATCATTTTGTCAGGCTTAACCAATGAATTTCATAAAAACCCAAGCATATTTTCAAAGGCTCCTGTCCAAATTTCAGTCAATGGGTTCATCTTAATATAAAACATGTGGTACATATTTACCTGTGGATAACATTTTGGTCCTTCATTGTATGGTGGAAGTCTGCTGGTGGAGAAAGAGAAGACTTCTGGAACATTTTCACTGGTGGAAAAGAACTGTCTTTCCCTTATAATATGAAGCCCATTGAGAAAAGCTGGGTGTTTCTACTGCTGCCTTTATTACTAAGAGTTGTATGCGCCTCCTTTATTAGTGTCAACCTTGGGGTGAAAGTGATGAAGGGACAGTCTGTCTTCCTGTCAGAAGATAACCTCAAGTTTTCCATCCCCAGAGAGAAGGATGCCTGCAAAGTAGAAGTTGTGATCAATGAGCCAATAACACAGAGGGTTGGGAAACTAACTCCACAGGTATTTGGGCTCTGTTTGTGCTGCTCTGAGTGTCCACATATGCACAGTTGTGGGAGAAACTAGAAAGAGCTGCTTTATTGACTTTTTTTTTTCCTGGTAATGACCAAAAGGCACAAAATGGGATGGTCTATGAGATTCAGCCTTATCCTGAAAGTAGCCAGCTGACAGAGAGCTGCAGCCCTGAAATCCTAAAGCTCACTTCAGTATTACAGGTGCCTAAGAGTGAGTTTGGTCAGAGTATCCTTTCACAAGCAGAGAATGGGTAATTCAAACCTTTCGGTTAGGAGGCATTCTCCAGTCTCTCAGCTGCTTTTTTTTCCACCATGAGGGTAACCAGCGCCCCTCGGATAACGCACAGCCTGCTAGAGCATTTCACATTTCAGTCACGCAGCCACTACTTAGGGAGCAATTAAGAAAAAAAAATCATCACATACAATAAGCACATTGTGTACACCGTCGGTTGCTTTGCTACAGCTAAATTGCTAGCAGATGGTGAGTACATGAAAAAAACCCAACTGTTTTTGTTAAAATGTCAAGATCATAAGAATAATGAAATGTATGTCACATATCACCATTCTGCTACTCATTTGCCTTACAAATCTCCCCACCTGAGTCATGGCAGAGAAGGAGCTGAAAGTAATTGACATGAAGGTGTGATGCTAGAGATAGAAGATGAATGGTTTGAATGAAGCATAACCAAAGGGGTTTTGCCTATTTTCAGAAAGTTTTGTTGCACCATACAGTATATGCTCCTTTACGTTTGTATATGTATATTGTTTTAAACATCCTCTCTGAGATTTCTGGTGGTCTCTGTGAAGATGGAGGCAGGAGCACCAGGCTTAACATATTTTTCAAAGCTCGTGGCTCAGTCATCGACATTATTTTTGCATAACCACTGACAAGTACTGTGGCTGAACCAGCACTTACAAGGAGCAGAGGCATGCTAGGGAATACAGGAGGCAATGAGCAGGGCAATGTGTGATCTTCTGTAGAGACTGTCCCCAAGCAGTGCAGTGCCGCTGCTGAGACTACCCCAGGGCTTGCTCTCTATCAGCACAGGGGCTCTGGCCATAGTACCCCTGCTCCACTTCCTCTGCCTAGTTTGGCCCATGAGAAGAAAAAGAAAGACTTAGGTGTGTCATTGTTGGAAAACCTATTTTGTAGGCAAGCTGTCTGGCTGAGGGAGTGACTTTGCTTTTGGTTTCTGCCTCAGTCTCTATATGCAGCAGGACCCAGCTATGTCGAAAAAGCTACTTTGTCCTTTGTAACCTGACATGCTTCCAGCAAAGGGTTTTCCGGAGACTCTCGGGGACCTGTATTCACACACCTTATTTTACAAAATACCTATGTACCCAGGGACTTTCCCCACTCCCAACCCCCATCCGTGTTAAGTGTCCATCTGTCCAGGGCCTCAGTGAGAGCCCAGCCAGCTGCATGTGGAGGCTGCAGGCCTCCCTGCAGGGCAGGTGCGCTCTGCTGGGCCGGTGGCACTGGCGTACCAGGACAGAGGAGTGCTGTGGCTGCAGGTGATGCTTGGGATACCTGCCCTGAGTGGCTTCTGATATGAGTGCTATCCTGCTAGGCAAGGTGCCTTTTCCTCTCCACAGCCGTGGGGAGGTGGGAGTTCCAGACACACCACAGCTCAGTGTCCCCCAGGGAGACTGCCAGCGAGATAGGCGTTCTGGTTATCTCAAGTCGTATTTCCCTGCTGGAAAACAGCAAGACAGCGTTTGTAAGTTGAGGGCTTTTGTTTTAAATGACAAAATCTTGAGCCACACACTGTAAAGAGCTTCCCGAGCTTTTATCATTCCTGAAAAATGGTGCCAGGGTCCAGCCAACCCTGTGCCACTAATGTTCTTTCTACCAGGAAATTCTGCCATGTCTCTGATATGATCTCTTTTACTGCCATTCAATGAGTAATGTCCTAGGAATGTATGACGATTTAATTACAAATTGTAGTTGAAAAGCAGTTGAAGTGGAAAAAAACAAAGCTCGACAGTAATTAGGAAAAGATTTAGAACCCCTTTGTCTTACTCAACGATATAGACAATTAGAATTGCCTGTTCGTATAAAAAGAAAACGTATTAGGAAACATAAAACAGATGTTTCTTTTTGCAAAGCAGATTCTGTCTTATATGTATGTGCAATGACTGTCAGTCAATGGTAATAGACCTTTGTGGAAAGGTCTTTCATTTTCCATCACCCTGTTATCAACTAGGAGGTGGAACTAATAATGTTTTAGAAAGAAAGAAATTAATTCTTTGATATCATAGACCATCTCCTCTGTTGTAGGCAGTCCCCTCTGATTTGAACATCATCTGAGCAGTATCTCATTGTCAGGTCCGCACCAGAACTACATGTCACCAAAACCCTACTGACTTCGAGGGGTCTATACTGATTTACGCCAGTGAAGAATCTCACCTTCAGTGTACAACACTAAACTCCTGGAAGCTATAATATGACTTACTTTTGTGTATAATGTACTTTTTTTTTTTTCTTTAGAGTATCACACCACCTAACTACTTCTTGAAATTTTTTTTCTTTGAAGACATCACTTCTACTACCTAATTAATTACTTAACTGTTACCTTTCTTTATGTTAGCTTGCACTAAGAAAGAAAAGGCATTAAGTACGATCAAGACGTCTTTGTTTTTTGTTAAACACTGAAAAATAACATACTTCTGTGACATTTGAAAATAATACACAACAGAACAGCCACAACATTGTCAAAACCTTCATCATATGAGAGCAATTTTGATTTCCACAAATTGTTCCTGTCCTTCCTTTCTAAACAGTCCAAACAAATGCAATCAATCGTACGTTCTGTAACACCCTATATTACAGATTATTCCAAGATTATTTTAGCCGTTAGGAAGAGGGATAAATCTGTGTATATGGATCTGATAATCAACTGATTCATCACTTAGTTAAAAATAGAAAGACTTTGTACAGTGTGTTTCTTGATACAAGTTAAAAACAGCAACACATTTAAAAGTCACTAGGAATATAGAACCATTACCACATAGCTTGAGCATCTGAGAATAACTTCAGTGGAAGTGGACAAGTCAGTAATAATGGAAGCTGATCAACTCGTTATTCTTCCATTATAGAAAGACAAAAGCTCTAATTCTGTGTAATTGCTAGAAAGAAGTCATTAGTTCTTATATGTGTTAGTGTAAATCCAAAGAGCAGTCATGATGTGCTTCAGTTAACCATACATTAACAAACTATTTTATTTAATGAGAAATTGAAGTATTATTTTGTTTTTACACTGAAAGTCAGAGCATCCAAAGAATTTCTTCATGCACTGCACTTCAAGTCAACATTTCAGAGCCTCACTAAAATTGCCCTTCCATTTCACCACCCTCCAAATTGGCTGGGGAGATGTAGGTAATTCAGGCAAGTCACTTCAATTTCATGATTCTTTTGGTGCATTTTAAGAAATGACTGGCAGTAAGAAATGACCTCATCTTTCTGAAAATCTAAACAAAACAGAAGGTAATTTGTCAGTCAGCTGTATATTTGTATTAATCTGTGCTCCTAATGACTTCATTATATCTATTACCGAGTACTGAACAAATTTTACTTTAGTACATAGATGTCCCAAGAGTTGTATACGCATACTGCCCATAAAAAACACATGCAGTTTCAAACTGAGACATCCAGGAAATGTAATTATTATTTTTTGCCTTTGTGCTGACAAGAATGTTCCCTGTCTTACTGTAAATATAAAATACATATGTATTCTCCATCTATGCATGGACCATGTAGGGGTTCCATGTTATCACAAGGATAACATAGACAAGGTTTTATCAATGCTAGCAGCTTTCAGCTGTTAAAAATCTATAAAGAAGTATAGTTACATGGGAATTGTAATTTGCCAGACTTGCAAACTGGTGTGTGCAGACATGAAAATCATGTGCCCCAGAATCCAAATCCCTTCCCCAAAGAATGGTGTGTCAGAACTCTCTAAAGTAATCTTTATTTCCATTTGGGAAAGGCATTTCTACTCATTGACTTACTTGTGCAAGTCATCAAACAATTAAATAAAACAACTAGACTGAGAGAAGTGTCTGGTTTAGATGGCTAAACTGTGCTCAGACAGCTTTGTAAATTTGGCCTGCATCAGATATGTCTCTTAGACTCTTTTGAATTTGGTGGTGGACGGAATATAGAAATTCTTCGTGCTTTTATACTGTGGGATTACACTGGCATTGGGGCTAGGCGTTGGTATGGCATGGAGATGACATCGGATCTGGTAAAAGGCTACCAGTACAAAGCTGGTATTCCAAAAAATTGCAACAAATCTGAGCTAACAAAGTTTCCAACAGAGAAATATCACCAGATAATACTTTTGTAGTCCAGCGGTAGTGGCCATAAAGCAGGATTTACTATCTAATCAAGCTACTGCCAGGAGCAACTTTAAAAGCTAATACATCTAACAGTAAACTGCAGGAATTTGCTGCCTTTTTGGATCCACTGAAGTTGTACTACTGAATACAACTGTGTGCATGTGTGAGTTCAAACTAGTTGTTGCACTGGAGGAGGGACTCAGCAGCTTGCAACAAACACATCTATATGGCCTATTCCTTTTCTAATTGTAGAGTGCCAGCAGCCCCATTCTAAAGTGGATACTCTGACTGTCACTGGGAGACAACAGAATGGGTGAATACTTATTCATAAATTACAGATTAAAAATTTCCAGTTGGAGAGAGTTGAAATGGAAGCTGTGAAGTCAGCACCCTTGACAGTGTTATATCTGTCTATTCTTTCTCTTTCACAGGTTTTTGATTGTCACTTCCTTCCTGATGAAGTCAAATACACCCACAATGGCTGTCCAATTTTAGATGAAGATGCAGTCATGCTCAGGCTGTACAGGTAAGCAACCAATTCACTGTTACCAGAAGCATAGCTGCCCTTGGGAAGAGCAAGCAGTTCATTTTTCAGGGTAAAAGCACGTTCTGCTATACTTGTTGTACCTACTTAGATCCAGTTGTGGCATTATAATTCAACAAGTGACCAGCTGCTTACAGAAACATTTCTCACAATGTATTTCAGCTACATTTAAATAACATGTTTGGTGATATTAATAGATATCATGTATTGCTTATTTGTTACAGATAATCAGAGATTTTTCTTTTTGTTATTGAAAATGACAACAGAACTTTCAGAGCACTGTACGTTCTGCGCTGTCCGGCTGATAGTGACACAGACCCTTGTATGCATGCAGCAACCAACCTCTTCCTTCACACAGACATCCTTTGTACAAGTATGAGGATGTTGGCAGCAGGATCTGGCACCTCATGGCCTCTGGTGGTCTGGGGTTTGAAGGCACATGAGAGAAAGTGGTTAAAATATTCAGTTTAGAATGTGAAGCCAATGCCAAAGTCACAGAGTGACAGAAGATGGGATGAAGCAAATTAATTTCCTTCTATCACCTGCAGGTTTACAGAAACTGAAACGTTTGTAGAGACATTCATCCTTCGTGTGCAGTTACTTGAGCCAGACTGTAACATCATCAAAATGCGTTCCCGTGCCCTGGAGGTCCCTGAGTACTATGGTCTGTCTAGAGCGATTGACAAGAACGTCCTCACTTTTGACTATGACAGGAAGATAAATCTGGATTGCACCATTTCCATAGCCTCTTCGGAAACCTACCTGCCTGCTCATGGGCAGCTCATTGCTGGGGAAGTGCAGCAAGAGCAGCTCCGTGGGGATCAGCCACAGAGCTTCTTCCCTGGCCCTAGTACGAAGTGCTTTAGTTGTTTGTACTAGCAGATTCAAAGAGTCCCAGCAAATTAAGTATGCTGAAGTGGTTTGCTTCAGACATGCTGGGTAAGAGTGGTTTATGTGAAGCTTAATGAACAGCTTGAGTTTTTGTATAAACTGAAAGGGCCATGAAGTTTGTGTGGGGCACAACACAGACCACAGAACTGGGTCAGTAGTCCCCTCATTGGAGTCTGGTTTTGTATCTTAGATACATGAACCAATGGGACACTTTGTGAGTGCCAAGACTCAGTAGAAACAGCACAGGGAGCTTTTGGAGGCAACACCTACCCAAGAGACCAAGGGAGGTTGGAGTTGGAAGATGTCAGTTGAAAAAAAAATCCTGTAGGAAAACCTAAGTCATGAAAGGAACCTTAATTCTCATCACTGACTTTTAATCAGGGTCAGTTTAGCTGTAAGGATAGACTTCCCATCTTGGTTTCTGCTCTGGTAACTGTTTTGCTTTTGCTTCCATTGGATTACAGAGAACAGTCTGGGCCAGCAGTGCAGAAATAAGAGCTGCACACCGGGACTGGGAGTCATTCACAACACAAAAATGAGCTGTGAAGAATTTCTGCGGATGGGGATTCGATATCAGCATCTTGACCCTCCCTCACCTGACAATGACTATATTCCTGTGAGGTTGGATCTCACAGACACCAGAAGCAAAACTCTGCACAAGGTAGACTTTCGGACAACCTCACGATGTCTGATTGTCCTCCTGGCTTTCAAAACATTTAAGTTTTGTTGCTCTTTTTCACATTTGGAGAGAGATAGTGAGCCTGAAAATTTGTTAAGTTCTTACACTATTCCATCATCTTACACTATTACATTGTCTCCATGCCTCAATGCTTGGACCACTATGGGTACAGAGAAACATCTCTGGTTGTTTACTGGCAGGCATAAGTCATTTAGCCCGAGAAAAAGATTAATTCTGACATAATTCCACCGTTTTATAGAGAATGATATGTACTGAATTCAGCATATATAGTAATTAATAAGTTAAGAGCTGTACGAACATATTCAGTTAATAATAATTAACGGCTCATGCACCCTTCTGTCAGACAAAGTTATACATTACACTCACATCAAATTAAGCAAGTTGTTTTGGCCCAAAATTAAGAGCACAAATAAGATTAATGAACCTTGAAGACCTTTTCATGAGGTCTAAATATTTACTTTAGGCATTTTCTCATTAAAAGGTTTAATTTTTTTCCTTTTAAAAATAATTATTGCTTTAACATGTACCCCAATTAATTACATGGGGCGTAATAGACGTTTAATGTATTCTGTTTGTTTCACTTTGTCCTTTTATTTGTCTCTTTTTTTCCTGTTGTAGACTGAGCATGCATGGCTTCCTGTTCAGATTACAGGCGGTGCTCCCAATCAAATACCCAAAGCTGTCCCAATGGCAAAGCTCACCCTGGAAGTGGACCAATTTATTTTAACCACCATTACAACCACAACTGTCGATGCTGAAGACAATGAAACTCCAAAGTCCCTACTTGTATTCAACATTACCAAGCCACCTCCACGGGGCTTCATCACGCATCTATCTGACCACACAAAACCTGTTGGCTCCTTCACATGGAAAGATCTCAGTGACATGCTCATTGCTTATCAGCCTCCAAATGTCAGCCACACAGAGAGGAGGAATTATGAGGTAACAGTGCAGTGTATAGGCATTTTTAGGTATTTTCTGGTTTCCACCTAACCAGGATTCCAGGATTTTTTGGTTCCTGTTTTTTTTGTTTTCTTTTTTTTCCTGCTGGGAGTAGTAAAAGCAAGTCAATAACACAAAGAACATGGTGCAAACAATGCGAGCAGGGTCTGGAGTGAGTAAACAAACAGTGCTGATTTATGAGACCAAGGCTGTAGGAATACATTTACGTTTTATGGGAGCAAAAAGAGGACCACTTCTACCTTTCCCATGTTGGCTGCTAGGTGCACAGTGTTACTTCATTTCTTCAGTAATTAGTGCTGGTAGATATTTTGTATAATTTAGCAGTGTGCCAGCACTCTCAGGAATAAGCAATAGTCTTAAAAAGGAGATATGAAAGGAAGATAAATGAGTTAAAGGAGTATATGAATATGCTGGTAGTTATAACTACTTGATAGGATAATTAAGCAATATCCCAAACAAAATAAAATGGTTGGTACTAAAGGTATGACACCAAAGAAACAAAATCAGAGCAAGGTAAGCTCGGGAAAAGCAGGAGTGGAAAGCAGAGGAACAGTAACAGTAACTGGCACCTGATCCTGACAAAGACTATCTCTTTTTAATCTTGGCTGTTTCCTTAGTATGGGGATCAGTCATCCCACCAAACCACTGGCTCCTTAAGTGGTTCTTCTCTGTTCTGCTTTCAGTGTTGTTTCACAGCAGGTTCAAGAACAAGAGTTCGATATTTTCTTCAACAAATAGTTTGTCTGTTTTGACAACAGGTGGAGTTTGAGGTTCATGACTTCTACTTTGAAAGGAGTTTACCAATCACTGTGCATCTTTCCATCAGAACAACAGATACAAATGCTCCTCGGGTTTCATGGAACACAGGTGAGATCTTTTTTCCTGAGTTTATTTTGCTACAGAATTTATAATGTTTTGACACAGACCTTTGACAAAGCTCTAAACTTCAGATTTACTTCTGGGGCTTAAAGACCATTAAACTGATAGAATGTAAATCTATTCTTTCCCTTTATCCATTGGGGGGGGGGAACATGCTACACCATCTTCAGATAATCTTATGGTTTAACTGGAATGAAAAATAAAGAAAAAAAGGGTGTTATAGGAAAATCTGGATTTTTGTATATAGTTTTTTCTTCAAGAATGAACTGGACATAAAAGAGTATAAATAGTAAGACAAATACGTGGTGGAAAAACAGTAGCAGGGTACTGTGTGGGAAAGATCAGTGTTTGCTGATATTGCTTAAAATGGAAGTCGGTAAAAACAAACAACTAGAAGGGCATGATACACCACCAGCCACCAGAAACCTGGAAACCTTAGAGGGTTAAGCTTAATTCAAAGAGATTTATAATGCTTACATTGGAAAGGGGACAGGCTTTCCCATCTAGGGTGAAAAGTACATTGATATTTAATCCTCAGAAGGCAAAGATACAAGATCAAACAAGTCTTGAAGTTAATACCAGAGTAAGTGCAGTCTCCTCACAATAGGAAAGGAAGGAACCTGAAAAGAAGAGGCTTCATGTCTCCCAGAGAAACCTCACCTGAAATGACTGTCAGAGTAAAAGAGATACCATCCTCATTCATGAAGATTAATAGATATTTTCAAGTGCTGACTCACTAAGGAAGCTTAGCACCCATTTTCAGGCATTGTGAAATTTCAACTGTGGTGCTCCATTTTGTGCAAATATTCAGAAAAGTGCCTAACTAGTCTATCAGATCATTTGGAATCAAATACATTATTTCTCTGAAAAAAAATTCCTTAAAGACAGTTGACTAAGGCAAGTATCCCAGAATAAAAGCTGATACCAAAGCTTTGCATTGGCCTTGAAATGTCTGTCACAGGTAGGTATGTAGATGGATTTAAGCGTGTCTTTTTTTCTGACTGTACATACCTTTAGAAAACATCTGACCAGATGCTGCTCACCTCGAATGTCGCAGATGCTTTGGTGAAATAAAGTTCTGCTCTTTACAGGCCTCAATCTCTTGGAAGGACAATCCAGACCGATCACATGGCAACACTTTCAAATTGTAGATGATGACATCCAGAGTGTTCGCTTAGTTACAGTTGATGGCTTACAGCATGGGAGGCTCACAGTGAGAGGTAAATAATTTCGATTTGAGGGCCTGGGAACATTCTCTAATGCAAATGGGTATGATAATGTGGCAGTCAATAAGACACTGATAGTGTCTGTTTTATGTCACTCCCTACTGAGGGCTGCCAGCCTAAGAGCCAGATTTACATGAGAGTAAAGGAACAGAAGAAAATATCTGGATGCACAGTAAGAAATTAAAAAAAAATCACAAGCTCATAAAGAAAACCAGTTGCTTTACTTTTGCAAGCAGTTTACTTATGCTGTTCATGCCCTTAAATGCAAGTTTGGCATTTTGCCTACACACCACTTCCATTTAAAAATTAAATTGGTTCTTAATTTCTCCATTGGAGGTGAGTTCAGCCCAGTGAGCCAATGCACCTAGTAACATGCTTGGTGCTGACCTGTCTCACCGAGGCAAAATGAGGACAGATAGTACTGTGATGCCACTGCAAAAACAAGACTAACACCAGCATGGCCGTATATTGCTCTGGGTTCCTCAAAGAAAACAAGAAATTCTGGGGCCTGAGAATGAGTCTTCTGCAGGTTTACCCTCCAGAGCAAAGGGCAAGACCAGCCAGCATGTATGGAGGCAGGCAGCACTCCCGGCTGCAGGCAGGCAGGCAGGGAGCTCTGCTCCCTCTGCCCAAGAATACAAGAGTATTGAAAGATTCAGTATTTAAACTTTTACTTTCTTAACATACATTTACTTTTACCTTAAACTTTTACTTTCTTTTACTTTATTTTTACTTTCATATCATACTTTTAAACTTTTAACTTTCTTAACTTTTACTTAACATTAAACTTTTACTACTTAACTTTTACTTTCTTACTATACATTTACATCTCAATGCTAAAATTTTAAAGGAATCAGGCATGCTATCATTGAGCAGGCATGACCTAGGCAAAATGCAGTCATTGTATTGTAACTTCTTACATTTTTCTTGAAGATGTTAAGGAATGAGGAGTGATTTTAATTTGTTAGCAAATACAGACAGCATATGGATAGTGTTGCTATTTATTGAAAGCTTTAAGGTTTATTTCAAAAAGAGGCAATTAAATTAGATGTAATTCGTTAGTAATTTTGCTTTGAAGTCTCATGAGGCAGCATAGTGCTGCTTTCTTTGGGAAAATGGTTAGGTTTAAAATGTCACTCTGCTGTTGGCAGGGTAGAAAGATGCTGCCTCTGTCAATGCTGGAGTTTTTGGTAGTTAAATGTATTAATGTAAACTGCATAGCCTAGAGACATACAAGTATTTAAAAAAAAGGGGAAGGTGGTATTTGGAATTTAATGGAAACAGAAGTTGTCCAGAAGTGTGTTTCATCTCAGGAAATTACTGCTGATCTGCAGGATCATTCTCCTGTAATTGCTGTCATTTCTGGTGGTGAGGTAGTTATTTCTCCATCATAAAGTTTGTCCATACTCTTCAAGCAAGGAGCAAAGAGAGTGAGTGTGTGTCCCAGCTGATGTTACACAGGCTGGAGGGCAAGGCAATATATTCCTTGGAGACCCTGGGGAGATCATCTCTTCCAGCATCAGCTTTCAATTCTTGAAACCTTTAACCTGCATGAATATTTGTCTGTGTACATAACATGTTTATAGAAGCAGATCTGTAAAATCGTCTTATTATAGAGTAGCCTCAGTATACAGGAAAAACAAGAATCAGAAATGAAATGCTGATCTGTAATTATAAAGCATATTCTCTTTGATGCTTAAAGTACATATAAAATATTCTGATAAGAAAGTAAAGTTTGAAATTAAAGTGGTAACAATTGCAGTTAGAAATCCTTTATATCTCTGGTTAGCTTTAGTTCAGTGGACATTTGGAGGAATCTCTTTGCTAGCACAGTTGCAAAGTCTTCATTCTTATTAACTGTTCCAACTTCTACAATCTTGTTTCCAGTAGGAAAAATTACATTTGATTCTTCTTGTTGGAAATGCATTCTCTTTCTCTCTCTCTTAATAACATTCAAATTGGAAGGATTCTTCTCTGGGCTGAACTGGACATTTTTGACGTGTTTTCTTCCATTGTTTTGACAGGAGGGAAAGGATTCATATTCACAGTCTCTGACATTCAGGCTGGAGTCGTTCACTACCATCATGATGACAGTGATTCTACTAAGGATTTTGTGGTATTTAGGATTTTTGATGGCTGCCACAGTATTCGCCATAAGTTTCCAATCAATATCCTCCCTAAAGATGACAGCCCTCCATTTCTTATCAGCAATGTGGTCATAGAAGTTCATGAGGGACAGATGATCCTGATTCAGAGCTCTATGCTTCATGCATCTGACATGGATTCCAGTGATGATTACATACTATTCAATATTACCAAGCCACCACAGGCTGGAGAAATCATGAAGAAACCAGGACCAAACCTGATGGGTAATGAAACACATCCACAATAGTACACTTATCTTTGTTCATCCCTCCCTTCCCCCTCGCTTTTTAAAACTGCATTAAATGTTACGATTAGACAATTTATTTTGGCTCAGAACAAATAATGGAAAATTTGGACTTCTTTGTAGAGACCCATTATTAATGAAAGTTGGTCTTGGCACCAGGATAACTGTACATGTGAACACAATTTATCCCATAGTTCTTTCATTTTCAGTCTATTTGCCTGATGTACTTTCCTCCTCCAGAAAAGTTGGGCTAGTCAGGAGTTACTTGATCTATAAGGATCCCTGACAAGTTCAAAGTTCAAAGTTATTAGGTGATGCTAATGATGCTAAAAGGGAAGAAAGTTCTCCTTTCATTGAACTGAACTCAGAAATTCCTGTGCTAGACTGTAGAGGCTGCTTGTCCTCTGAACAGGACTTTAGGCCAATTTGCTGTGTTGTATAATTTTTTGAATGATCTTTAAGAGACGTAAAAAATGATGTTGATGATCTTCAGGAAATGTGGGAGACAATGCAATAAAGGACTTGCCCTAGTTAGGGTGAGAAAAAGGACATTTTGCTTCACCAGTTACTTGCACAGCTAACATAATTTTTATGAGTTATTAAAATCATGCACTGTTCAATATAAGATATATTCTTCAATTCAACAGGGTATTCTGTCAGCAGTTTTCTTCAGAAGGATTTATTTGATGGAATAATGTATTATCATCACTTGGGAGGAGAAGTATTTGAAGATTACCTTGAGTTTGTGCTGTGTGATAGCCATGAACCCCCCAATCTCTCAGATCCACAGGTATGAAAATGAAGCATCTTTTGGCAGAGCCCCGCATATTTCCTTCAAATGGATGATGATTTTATGCCTTCTGATAGACTTTAAAATCAAACTGGTATGGATCTCTTCTGTTTGCTGCTACCCTGGTCATAACCACAAGTAATGGTCTTCAGAGCTAGCTCTTGTTCTTGCTTCCCATAGGGTACTTCTTTCTCCTGAGCCACAGAGAGACAAGGTCATTGCAAAGGCTTTTTGCTGCAGTGTAAAATGAAATGTTGAAAACAGATTAGATTTGGAGATTCTACAAACAAACAAAACAGCCCTCCTGAAGTCAACTGAGAAGAACTGACTCACCCAGGAGTCCGACATACTGAATTTAACTTTGATTTCAATTTAAAAGGAAACTACTAAGAATTATAGGCTTTGCATTTAACTGCTGTGTATCTCCGTTGCTCATGTATTCATGACTGGGCATGATAGCCACATCCTGCATATCATATTCCAGTGATTTACTTACTTGTCTGTGTGCATGTTTATAAACAACTGCTTGGACAATCTCATCTTGAGATGAACGTCTGCTGATTGCACTCTCTCCCTGATTTCAGGTGATGGTGGTGCACATAATCCCTGTGGATGATCAACTGCCCAGAGAAGCCCCGGGCGTGACCCGTCACCTGATTGTTAAGGAGACTGAGATTGCTCACCTAACTAAGAAACATCTCTACTTCTTAGATGTGGAAGATCAGGACAGGGAACTCACATACACCATAACCACTTCCCCATTTTTCTCTTGCACACATGGGTAGGTGTGACCTGCCATATCTTTCAGGTGGGACTGGGCAATGACTTACGTAAGAGAAGCAGCCTCAGTGGCAGTAGCATTCTTGTGTATCAGGTTCTTCAATTGTTTACTTAAAGTGCAACAGATGGTGCACCTCCCTGTTGATGATTAAGTGTGAGCTAAAGCTGAAAGCAGCAGAATAATACATGGAGTAATTAAAAAAGCCCCATAGTTTAGCAAGAAATAAGGAGGAAAGCACCTGAAATATTTTCTTTCCTTTTGTTGGACTTGCATTTTACACTGCCATATGAGATCCTGTGCAGCCTTGAGCACAAGTCACAACACGTCTCTTACTGATGGAGTGGGACTGACCTGGGCCTACCCCAGGCTGAGAACATGAGGTGCTATAGTTTTTTCTAGGATATTATTATCACCATGGCACTGCAAAGGACTCCTGGTCCTGGACCCACGGGGCGCAGTGAAAGCAGAACTAGTTAAGGAGGCAATGAGTGTGTGGAATGAATGGGGTATATTAGCCATCTACATGTCATTGATGCTGTTTCACTGGTAGGAAATTCATGAGAATTCATGACAGCATTTGCAACAATTTGTCAAATAGAAAAGTTTAAAATCCAGCCATTGTACAGTTCAAGCTGAAGAACATCAATTTCAGTTTTGACCTCAAATAGCAGAGGATCAGCATGCAATTGGGAAGAAGGTTGTTTATGCTGGTCCCCTATTCAGTCAAACAGCTACATGGTTATCTAGTTTGCTGGTTACCGCTGTTGGAAAGCTCACTTGTTGGAGATGGGTTCATTTCAGAAGTTTAAAGATGCATGATATAATTTATTTTTCTACATAAAAGTAAATGCAGGTTTGTAAGTAATAAGAATGTGATGGACTGGACTTTCAGGAGGTGTAATTGGTATCTGGGCTGTACAGAGACACACTTGTATCAAACCCAGAGCTTGCTTAAAAGGTATGTAATAAATTTTCATGACCATCCTGATATACATTTTTTTGTAGTCAGTTTTCTATGATAATGTTTACATGAATAGAAAGTACAGAAGAAAGAATATAGTTTGGGTGGGAATTTAATTTGAAATGCAAGACTGACTGAGCTATGTGACTGTTGGTTTTCCTGTTCTTCAGTTTTGCAACCAGGATGTGACATACTTATTTTTGTATAGCCACTCAGATGCTGGGAAGCTCTTTATGGTGGACACCATCCCCAAACTAGTCAAGGACCCTGCTGCTCTTGCACTGCGGTCCTTTGCTCAGGTTTGTTATATATTACCTGACATTAAAACCTGTTCTAAACGATTTGAAAGTTACAAGTATACAGCTTCTTTATGGCAGGAAGAGGTTAAAAATAAAAACTTTTATAATTCAATTCCAGCTTTTGAAAGAAATGTCCATTATGCTTCAGTTCTGCAACATGTAAACATAACTTTCCTTCTGAAACCAGCAGGGGCTGCAGTTTCCTAGGGTAGCCTGTGTTTGGATCCAGCATGATTTTAAGATGAAGGAAAAAATGAGGCCTTGAGAGTTTTCTGCTTATTCTCAGTGTCTCCACCAATAGATTTGATACAGGCTGAAAGAGGCCTCTTTCAGGATTTTGTTGCTATGTTTCCACTTAGTCTGATGGATGTCTTACGAATATTAGTAAAGTGCCCTGGTTTATATCCTGATGTATTGATAAGGTAATTGTAATAGATGATAATGATGATCATCGCAGTGCCATAATGGGAGCTCTGAGCCTACAAATCCTTAATCAGGTGCCTAATATGGGTGTCTGGATGCCAGATTTTGGTGGTTATTTTGGCCTTTTTCAGCAGCCTTCTCTTGGAAAAAAGAAAATAAAGGAGGAGGCAAATTCTGTATTCAGACATGCAGTTCCTGTGTGTTTGTTAAACTTCATTAGTTTACAAGAAAACATTTCATTAGAAAAGGCTTTTGGGCCAGCATTCATAAAGGGATCCATCAAGGAGACAGGCCATCACCTCTGTCAACATTTATAAACTGTGCCTGTGCTTTTTGCTACAGGTTTGAGTATTTGAACCTGTACTTACTTGATTGGTAACTAAAGATGCATTTAATCAAGGTATTGCCAGTATACAAAGAGTAGATGCGAAGTTTACGGAATTAATTTTGGCAGTTCAGATTCCATCTAATCGGGGGGTGAGAAAGGTCCCTAATGTCAGTTTTGGCTCTCCCAAATTATGGGTTTATGGCTCTCTCATTATCTCTTCTTACCTTCACCCCTCTTCTCTTTTTGCAGCATGCTGTGAACTATATGAAAATTGCTTACATGCCACCGCTGCAGGACATCGGGCCTGAACCTCAGCATGTCCAGTTTATTTTTTCTGTCAGCAATCAGCATGGTGGCACTTTGCATGGGATATGCTTCAATATTACAATTCTTCCTGTGGACAATCAAGCACCAGAGGTAGGGTGGTGGTGAAGGCAAGAGGAAAGGACTGGAAATGGCTCTGAGTAGAAACAGAAATGCAGAAAGTGGTCTTGCTCTGACTGAAATGAAAAATAAGTCTTCCATGGGATCAGGGTTTCAGTGCATTAAATGTAGCCTGCATTGGGACTACAGTGGAGGGGAAAGTGTGGTGAGTGTGCAACGTGATTTTGTGTGTTGAATAATTTGAGGGCTACCTCCAATGCCTGAGTGGCTGTACAAAAATATGTATGCCATATCCTGGTTAACAAAATGCATCCTTCCTCTTTATTCTGCCTATTGCCTATAAAGGCCAGGAGCCTCCTTGAACAGGATGGAGAAGGGGCTGCGTGTAGTAGCGCCTGCTATTAGTAAATTCCTTAGGTTTTCCTAACACAGCCATTGGCATTTTATTTTTTAAGGTGTCATACGTTACACTGGAGCAAACTGAAATTGCCATTTGGTGTATATTGGGAAGTGCAATAGAAAAGAGAGTTAAGCATTTTCTCTTCCATGCAGGTTTATACAAACCATTTAAGAGTGGAAGAGGGTGGCCTGAGCCCTGTCACAGAGGAACACATTCTCATTTCTGATGTGGACACAAAACAGGAGCATCTCCTCCTCCTCCTGCAGAGACAGCCTCAGCATGGGACGTTGGAACTGGATGGCATTCCTGTCAATGAGGGCGACAGGCTTTCCTGTGGGGATCTGCGTACCCTGGCAGTTAGGTTAGAAGAGTGGCTGTCTTCTCCTCTTACAGTGGCTGAGTTTTCCAGTCAGATGAGTGAAAGCCCTGCAATGAATTGGTGAGGTGCAGGGGCTGCAGCCAGCAATACTCACCATAGAACAGCTCTGGCAGAGCTGCTCCAAGATTGCTGGCTGATCCTCAGGACTGCAACAATCACTGCAGAAGCTAAGCTGCTGTGTCGCCAGAAAGTGGGAGCTAGTGACCATGTCTGGTTTAGATAGGTTTCCCTATATAGCACTGCCCCATGCAGATGAAGAAGCAAATTCTGTATTCAGACATGCAGCTCCTGTGAAGAAGGCAGTGGCTTGCAGCTTTTTTCTTTTAAGGAAATCACATGTTTATTAAACTTTGTGAGTTTACAAGAAAACTTGTATTAACGCTAATTAACCCAGAGATGAAAATGCTGCTGATATATCTGTGGCAAGAATGAGACTTGATTTCCTACATGCATGCAGAATAAGAGCTCTCTGACTCCATTTCCATCTATTAGTCAGAGTAGGCACCTACCACAGCAAGGGCATACATGCTTGGCAGACATCTCACAAGCAGCCAGAACAAGGATGACAAAGCCTCAGTGAAACCTTTTTCCCAGCTGTTGTCTGGTTTTTATTGGCAGTTTTCTTCATGTAGGAGACCCCACAAGTCTTCTGAAGACATCCTAATCCAGAATAAGCAGTCTTAGATGGACACACTGGCACAGGGATTGGCTTTTTATATTGGGAAGGATCCATATTGACTCTGTCATGACCAGAAAGCAGAAAGCAGAGCTTCTTTGTCTATGTGAAATATGTGTAGCTCTTCTTTTCTTTTTTTTTCCTTCACAGTTATCGGCACAATGGCTCTGAGACTCTCACTGATGATATCCTCTTTGCAGCTACAGATGGCATCCACTTTGTAGAGTTCATTCTGCAGGTCAAGGTCAGTGTGTTACATATTTCTGAAAGCAATTGACTCTGTAGAAGAGTGTAAAGCTTGATGTCTGAAAGTCTTTGCATTCTCTTGGAAACTGGAAGATAATGGACTTGTTAGACATCAGGAAGATAATGGACTTGTTAGGCATCAGGTTTATGTGGCAAATTGAGACATTTGGCCTGTCCTAGCTGAAAGGCATTTGCACTTGCTCTAGTCTGGGTTCTTTAACCTGGAATTATTCTCTATGTACTTAAATCTGGGGAATGAGATTTTTCTCAGGCTGCAATTATCTAGTTCAGTTTATTTTTGTCTTTGAATTTTTAACATGACCCTAATTCAGCTGGTTTCATTTGGTTCATAGGAAAGCTCAGTGTACTCTGGCCGTGACACCATACTGCTGGTTTGAGCAGTATGGAAGGCAATGTATTAAAACAACAGCTTTCCATTGAAATGAAGGATAAAAGATCTTAACTTATTTTTCTGATTAGGTGCTGCCTGTGAATGATGAGCCACCTGTTATACAGACAGGCCTTGTTCCTGTGCTCCACTGCCTAGAGGGTGAAGAAGTGGTCCTCTCCTCAGAGTACATCTATGCCACAGATGCAGACAGTGATGACATGAAACTGATGTTTACTCTGGCTCGCCAGCCCTATCATGGGCTGGTGAGGAAAGCTGGCATTGCTGTGGATCGGTTCACCCAAGCTGATGTAATCTCTGGTTTAGTCACATATAAGCACACCAGTAAGTGAGTTCATGATAGAATTTGGCTGGAAGGTGGTCACAGAGTTTTCTGGAAGGAAATCTTAACCAGAATTCATATAATCTTTGCAGAAGCTCAGCAGGAACTGCTGAGAAACCACATGTGTTTTGTCCAGGGAAAAAAATAAGGTGGCTTTGAAAGAGCGCTGATGATATAAAACTACCAAATGTTTTAATGAGCTCTCCAAATCCCTGTTTGAAGTGAAAAAATTATTAGAACAGCTCCATGGAAATATCATAACCTTAGAGGATTTCTTTCATTGTTCCTGGTAAAATATCTTCGGCAGTTTTTTGGTTTTGTTTGGTATTTTTTTTTGTTTTTTTTTCGGAAGGGGGGTATTACTGTTGAATTAGGTACAAAATAGAGCCTTTTTATTTGTTTCATGACATTAAAAAAGCCCACTTCAACCTTTTTCCAGAGTCATGTTTAAATAAAGGGATGTAATACTGTAAATTGGGATGCCGTGTTTTAATAGAAAACTGCTAACAGCCTGAAGTACTACTTGCTTGCCTCTCCAATCTAGATGGCTGTCCATTTCTGGACTGTTTATAGTCTTTCTGTACCACAAGGTAGATGATCAGATTTTCTTCAGGAGAACCACAATGCTAAAAAGATGTTATTTTGTGGTTTTATTGTAAAAAATAAAAAAAAAACAAACTGTTTGTTTTTTTTTTAAATTTTTTTTTTTAATTACACACTGAAATCAAGGGCCAGTTAACCCTATTTCCTATTTAATGTCATATTTTTATTAGCATTAAAGAGGTTGTCTTCTATGTCTCTGATGACAGCTTTAGTCTTGTTTGCTTTTTTCTCTTTTTTCAAAGGCTGTGGTTTTCTATGTAATTAGTCTGTAATTTTGTGCTATATATGCGAAATTTTCAGGCTTGGCCCCATCTAAAATAAGCAGCTGGTATTTGAGAAGAGAAGCAAGTACTTGATTATGGCCACTCATAACAAATTTTTCTTCAGCAGCCGAAAGATACCAGGAACATTATTTCAATGGCAGTGTTTTTCAGAGTAATGAAGGGCAGAAACTTGCTTTCATGGGTGCAGTGCTGGCGTTTTTTCATTCCCAAATTTCTGCATGTGCCTCCAGTCAAATGTTCTAACAGCAGATATCACAAGAGATGGTGGGAATCACTGTCCCTTCTTTGCAGACAGCATATTAGAAATATCCTGCAACAACGCAAGACACAGGCTGCCAGAAATGCTGAGAAATGCATTCAGCCACAGACGCTTCTTGCAAGGGGTGGTAGTTCCCAGTCCTGTGCTGTATCAGCCCACATTTTCAACATGATTACATATGGGCATAATATACAGTTGCAAAAAAGTACACATACAAAGCACAGCCCTTGTTATAGTCCATTTTGTAGGAATAAGAGGCATATACGAATACACGCATTTTTAGGTGTGCAAAAATGTTTTCTTCTGAAACACTGTGGATATTACCATTTGTCATAGAGAGAGTATATATACGTATATACATATCTAAAAGAATGACCTTTTCCTACATTTTTTGAGAAGGAATGAAGGAAAAACTCTCTGCATGAATGTATGATTTGCAAATGCCTTAGTGAACAAAGAACAGAATTATGAGTACTACTAGCAATTTTATTACAATATAGTGTTACAAAATTGAATGAATAATGTTATAACTATTAGTAATACTTAGTTGCATACTTTTCTGCACCCTTTTATTCTAGAATAGAAGCTGGTTAAACTTAATTGCAAACAGCAAACCAAATTCTTTACTAAACAGCACCCCCACCAGCCAGAATTAAGAATTCTAGTAATTTTGTTTTTTCTTCTGATTTTGAATACTGCAGACTGTCCTTGCAGGATACAAAACTATTCTTCATGAAGCTTTGGTAAAACGTTTACTCTGATCTGCAATATTTTTTCCAGGTGGGGAGATTGGCCTGACTCCTTCCATTGAGATCTTAACCTTCATTGTCTCTGACAGTGAGGCTGGCATAGATGTGAAAGACTGCTGTTATGATGGACCTCTTTCTCCTCCAGTTCCGCTTCAAGATCCATTTCCAGTATATGACCTTAACATTACTGTACTTCCAGTGGACAACCAGCCTCCATCAATTGCAACTGGTGAAAGATTCCTCTCACTACACAGTTATAATGTGGGCTTACGCAGTACTGTAATGGCTAAGGACACAGGGATTTTACTTATTTGTTTGTTTATTTGGGGTTTTTTTCTTTATCATCAGAAAGAGTTACCTGAGATCAGCATACAACAGTTTTGAATCAGAATATCCATCGATATTTTTTTTTCTTTTGCTAGTACAGTATAGCCACCAAATTCAGCTGCAGGTTCAAGTGTGAGTAACTGCTTGTGGCTCTTCAGCTGCATGTTTAATCATGTGGTTAGAGATAAGTGTTCAGATCTATTCCCCTCCACCTATGCATGTCCCTTGCTTCACATACGTAGGCATCATGGTTTATCGCCAACCAGCGACGAAGCGCCACACAACCTCTCACTCACTCCCCCTGGTGCTATTGGGGAGAGAAACAGCAGCATTAAAAGGGGAAAACTCACTGGCCACCCACCCAGCAAACCAAAGCAAGACAAGGAATTCATTCACTGTTTCCTACGGTCAGGCAGGTGTTCAGCCATCTCCAGGAAAGCATTCCATGTTAACGGTTACCTGGGGAGACAAACGCCATTGCTCCAAATGTTCCTTCCTTCCTACTTCTTACCCCAGCTTTGCAGGCTGAGCATGATGCCATATGCTCTGGGATATCCCTATGGACAGTAAGAGTCAGCTGCACCACCTGTGTCCCCTCCCAACTCCTTGTGCACCCCCAGACAGCTCACTGGTGGGGTGGTGTGAGAATCAGAAAGGGCCTCGGCTGTATAAGCACTCCTCAGCAGTAACCAAAACATTGCTGAATTACCAACACTGCAGCCCAAATCCCAGACTTAGCCACATACAACCTATTATGAAGAAAATTAACCCCACTTCAGCCAAAACCATTATAGTAAGCTATGTCTGAGTAAAAGTGATCAATATTTTCTCTCTGAACTGAACTTAGGTCCAGAAAATAGTCATATGCACTGTTTATGCAATAACATAAAGTAAGTATCTATCTACTTTTACATGTAAAATCTACAAAAGAAATTTAGACTCTGGCCCTTATATAAAAGGAGAGAATCTTTTAATACCAATATTTAACTCTGTTAATAGATGAAGCCAAATTTATGTTATATGTGCAATCAATCGAATAGATTTGAACCCATATTTTTACTAATACTTTTCAAAATCAAAAATATTTAGTTAAAATGGAAATAGTTTTGGTAATGTACATGTAGCCTAACAGACCTCATTGTGCAAAATTTCCATTGACTTCCTGGGCTTTCAATGAGGTCTGTAGTATACACATAAAGGTATGCTTTCTTTATGCCTGCCTTTTTCAATGTCATTTGTTTGTTAGCATAAAATATATGTTATATATCTCAGAGAATATCTAAGCATATGTATGAGTAGTTTCATAATTGGCAGGCTTTAACCCAAGTAATGTTCTGGAAATGAAGCGTTGTCCCAACAGGGAAATTAAGCAGTGTTGCATGAAATATTATTCATTATAAACAATTCAGAACAGCTCTCATATAATTAATGCTCTGACTAACACAGGTAACAACTGATTTTGAGCAGCACATAGACTATACCTAATGATTTACCAGCAAAATAATTTCATGATCCCCTTCCTCTCTACATACATGATGGCAAAAGTAGGGTTGACAGTGTAGGCACTGAAAAAAAACCTTAAACCAAACCCCCTCGGTAACTCAGTATTTGTTGTCTTTTCCCCCTTAGTTACTACTTTCATTTGTATTAACAAAAGCAACAGCAAAATGAGCTAAAAGAGCAATAATGCTTATCATATTGTTTGTGCGCAGGTGCAAGGTTTGTGGTGGAGGAGGGCTCCTCAGCAGCCCTTACCACAAACCATTTGCTTGCCACTGACCCTGACACCACTGCAGATGACTTAGAGTTTGTCTTGGTTTCTCCTCCTCAGTTTGGTTACATTGAAAATATACTGCCTTCTCCTGGGTTTGAGAAGAGCAACATTGGTATAAGTATAGGTAAGTCTTAGTGACATACGGTAATCAAGTAGATGAGATACAGAGGGCTTCTGGTGCTGTGGGCTCTGGTGGTGTGTACATTAATATGGACTTATTGAGGAAGGCAGGTGCTGGCAAATGCAGAGCAAATGGGACTGTGAGGGAGGAGTTCAAAGGAAGACTACAGATCTGAAAATGTGAAGAATTAGCACTTGAAGTAAATAACCCAGTCTTTGCTTTATGCATTCCAGCTGCAGTCGATTAGAAGTGACAATACGAGACATTAACCTGCTCTCTCTCTGCCTTTGCCTTCAATCCCCCATGCAAGGATCCTGCCCTTCCCTTCACCTAAACCTCTGTCACTTAAATGCTTTAGCTGAGAACTTGAAAAGCCTGGGTCCCATGTTAGTTTTCAAGACAAAGTAACAGAAGTGATAGAGATGTGGGTTGGCTTGGGTGTCTTCCCTTGCCCATCTTCAAACACTATAATGCAGTTTCATCCTCAGTGAAATGGACTGTGGCATGCTCTGTAATGCTACCAGCTTTTACCAGTGTCTCCAGGCAGACACTCGGAACCACTGAGCCTTTTGGTCCTCATTTTCCTGGTCTGTCATAGAAACGTTAGTGTTGAAGTGGACCTTAAAATTCCACTAGTTCCAAACCCCACAGCCATCAGCAGGGATACTTTCAGCTAGACCAGATCAGTCAAGTGAAAATCAATTTAACTACTTAGAGCCCAGGTCTTACCCATCATTTGGGTCTTTTTGGGGGAGCTCTGTTCTGCAGACTGAACTGGGAAGCATAAAGTTGCAGTCCCACAAGCAGCATTTGTGTTTCAAGGGAAGGGCACGTGTCCTGCGGTAACTTGCAGTGTAACTCTTTCAGCCAAAAAAATAATTGAAAACTTATAAAAACCCTTGCAAAATCCAAGATATTTCTTTGAGAACTGCACAGTTTCAGATTTTTTTTATGATAAGACCAGAAGGTTGGAAAAGATTGTGTTAACTCATAATCTCTTTAAAATATCTAGCTTCGTTTCAGCTGAAGCACCTGAAAGCTCTGAATATAAACTATGTACAAGCCAGGCATGAGCAAATGGAACCGACAGCAGACCACTTTGTGCTTTATGTCACTGATGGGCTGCATCGCTCCGCAAAGACTCCATTTTATGTGCTGATCAACCCAACCAATGATGAAGTCCCGGAATTCATAGCAGGAAATATTACTGTAAGGAAATAATCAAAATGTCTGTTACAGAATTATTTTATACCAGAAAACACTTTTTCACATAGATAAGAACATTGCTCTGACACTTGTTCCTCTACATCTTTCCTTTGCTCATGTAGTTCAGCCTAGTTCAGGAAACAGCCCCGTTAAATCCCATGTAAACTGGTAACAGAGAGCTGCAATGGGACTGTACTAGTGCACAGCTCTGGTAACTTTCAATTAAGAGAAAAAAAAAGTGCTCAATCTTTAAACAAACACATAATCTGGAAAGCAGAAGGATCTTCATGCTGCTTCTGGTTTCTCAAGAGCTTTTATATTTTCCTGTGTTTTTTTTATGCTTCGGGCTTAGCCTGTCCCCTCTCTGAAGACTGATTTTAAAATAAATAATAGTTCTGCCTTCCCCTGGCAGAGGGGGCTCTTGAGAAGAGCAACATTAGCAACCATGCTAAGGCAGTGTAAACTAATGTTACTGTGAAGTAAAAAATGCATGACTTGTATAAATGTATATGCATCAATTATTTATACATGCATACCTTTATATATTCAAATTCTTTCTCCTTGGCACTTAATATGAAGTTTATTTACCTAACAGCTCTTCTATTAATTGGGGCATTACAAACTCCTTATCTCACCTTCTTTTTTCATCACTGCAACCATTTACTTCTCTATGTCACTTAAAGTGGTTGAAATCAGTAGCTGATTCAAAAGCGACTGGGAAATGGGTGGAGAAAACAAACTCACACACAGTAACAACCTACTTAGGAAACTGAGCTAAAATTCTCAGATTCTTTTATGTAAAAGAATTTGACATTTTTTTCTTTCGTGTTTAGGTTCAAGAAGGGGAGATGAAAGAGCTGGATCTTTCTGTTATCAATGCAGTTGATCTGGATGTGCCTCAAGACCATTTGGTATTTGGGGTTGTACAGAGGCCTCTGTACGGGTTCCTTATTAATGGAGTTCATGGCAAAGATATTCTATACTACAGACAGTTAATCAACCATGACCACCACAGCCATGAGTTGCTTGTTCATGACTTTTCCATGGAGCTACTGAAGAATGGTAGGTGCAGCACTCTTCTGACATTGGTCTTTCATCTCTTTAATGAGGCAAGGTGGCACAGTAAGAAACCTTTAGCACTTATTTAGTCACTTGCCTTATGTGTATTTCCAAGATGATGTTTAGGAAGCCTACTGTAGGAGAGGATAAGTTTCGAGACCATCTTAAGAACCTGAACACGCACAAGTCCATGGGACCTGATGAAATCCATCTGCAGGTCCTGAAGGAGCTGGCGAATGAAATTGCTAAGCCACTGTCCATCATATTTGAAAAATCATGGCAGTCAGGTGAAGTTCCCAATGGCTGGAAAAAGGGAAATATAATCCCCATTTTCAAGAAGGGGAAAATGGAAGGCCTGGGAAACTACAGACCATTCAGTCTCACCTCTGTGCCTGGCAAAATCTTGGAGCAGATTCTCCTGGGAACTATGCCCCTTCAAAACCTGAGGAGAGATTTTTTTTTCTCTGTTGCCTAATAGGAACCTTCAGAAGTGTCAAGTTCTCACCCCAAATTCCTCAGCCTTCCCAAGTGCTGTTTTTGTTTCTCTTCCAATTGCTTGGTTTTTCTCTTTTCCCGTCCACAATGGTGACCAAGCTACCGTCAGCCCAGATCCTCTGATTGGCTATGATCACAGCCACAAGGTCAGCTGTCCTCCCTGAAGCTTGTTTAAAGATCCCTGAGAATTAAGGCACAGAAGAGTGTTGCCTGATAGTCTCACCCTTGCTATGGTCCCTGTTAAAATAAATTGGAATGAAGAGAGGAGAAGAAATGTGCCTTTTTTTCAGACCAACAGAGACCTTTTTGTGGAGGGAGTCACTCCTTTCTCCAGTCATGCTGGTGTCTTTGAGACAATGATGAACATCATCGGCTCACCAAGCTTATTTTCTGGTAGCTGAAACCAGCTTGCTGTGACAGGTCATGTGGGGAAGGGAGATGGAAGAAGGGTGAGGGGAAAACAGAAAGAAATGATGTGAGAGATTTTGCTGCAGTCAGATTTATTTGATTTTTCCATTTTTCTCCCTCTCTTCTTTTTCCCACCGCCCCCTGCATAGGAATGAAGCTGATGTACATGCATGACAATTCCGAAAACCTCACTGACAGCTTTAGAATCCAGTTATCAGATGGGAAACATAAAGTCATCAGAACCATTTCAGTAAAGGTCATTCCAGTTAATGATGAGAAACCAGTGCTGAGCAAGTAAGCCACATGTTCCTGTCTCTGACAGAGGGATAAGTTTAGACAAAATGATCCAAAAGTGATCAAAACAGCAAATTGGCGACTCATGGGGAGAATCACAGACTAATGTCAATACAGATGTTTCCATATGGGTCTCTATCAGCTTGTTCAACAAAAACATTTCTAGTGAAATAAGGATATGCTTTAATGTGGCTCAACATTAAAAGAACAGTGAGAAAAAAAAAAAAGTGGGGGAGCATGCTTATTTTGCCTTTTACAGCTTACTTGAAGATGTTTGTCAGAGAGCTGTCATGTTTGCACACCTCTACCAGCTACTGACCACCATGGTATTGACTGCAGCTACTTTGCTTTGCCCTTCCCTGGGACAACTGCATGTCTAAAACATCTTTCTGAAAGCACTTATGTATTTTGGCATGAGATAATCCACAAAGTTGATGCCTCGTTGCCTCACAGGGGAAAGCTTTTCATCTTAATGATTCTTTTATTTTCTCTTTTCTTAGCTATAATTCAGCTTCTGAAAAGATGCATGCTAACTTCCCTTACAGTTCAAAACTAGGAAAGAGAAATGAAATAGACATATTCAGAAATTGCTTGGCTTACCATTTGCAGATAGGCAGCTGGCTGTGAGAAAGATGGACCTCCTGGACATTTTAACAAGGGGCTTTTCCCTTTGGATCCCCATTTTTTAGCTAATGCTCTGCTACAGAGCATAAGGGCCTCCATCTTCCTGCCTGGTTTCCAGTCCCAGTCAGGCAGATGGGGAGCTGGGAACCCAAAAGCTTTGGGCACATAGCTTGAACCTCTGAAGTCTGCATTTCAGAAACGACTCACAGTCTGTTCAGCAGGCTGCCAATAATGTGGGCATTTCTGATCCCTCAGGATATTTGGCCTGCCTTCAGATCAGACATACATTTCCCATTGCAGAGAATTTTGAATATTTTGTTTTGTTTACTGTGCAGAGCTTCCTGCTTTAACAAATTTTAGTTTTATAGTTGAAAGATTATCAAGGATCACATAATGCTAACAAGAGAGAGTGTCCATTTCTTGTTAGAATAAATGATATAGTTTATGAATTCATATCACATACTGATAATTGCCTATTTGTTCCTCATATGGTAAAGACTGATACAACATTTTCCACCCCTTCTCTCTGAAGGAAGGTGATGGAGTACAAGAAATCAAGTGTTTTTAGGTTTGCCCAGCTGGATCCAGAAACTCTTGCTGCCTCATCTGGTGTTGTTAGAACTCACCATTTGCCACTCCTGTGATGAACAACACACAGTGAGCCACCTACTTGAAAAATATCTATTTCATTATAAGAAGTTACTGCTTCTTGCCTGTTACTCTTCCACTGATACACAGTATGCTCCCAGTATTTAAGCAGTAGTGCTTTGAGGAAATGTGTTCAGTTTGGCGTTGGAGTGGTTTAGCTTCTACATTCAGTCATGACATCTTTGCCATGGGGTAGGAGCTCCCTTACGCTACTGAAGGGTTTTACAGGTGAACATTTGACAATACTTGTAAGCTTTTTCTCACCTTTTGATCTGGGGACACCCTTTCACCTCAGGGAGTTTCAGGTCTCATCTCCATTAGTGGTGGTGAACAGACTGAAGAATTTGCAATGGGATGTTTTTAGCTGGCAAACAGTGAGTGCCAAAAGCTCAATCTGTCAGCTCTTGGACTGCATCCTGTAGCAAGGAGTGCCCTTGGGGAAGGTAAGGCCCTGGCACATTCCCCTTGAAAGCTTCTTCTCAAGATGAGATATTGGTGCTAGAAACAGCATAAAGAAGAAGTTGGTTACACCTTTGTAGTACCTTTTCAAGATTAAGTGACAGACTAGTCAGTTGAAAGACAGTCTTTAGTGTACAATCAGTTCATTGGAGCCAGTATTAATATCGTAGCAGTAATATACAATTCAGCCTATATTTTTACACCACCCTCTTATAGATTTTATGAGGGTAAGTGGAATAGATTCCAGATTAAGACAGATGTGATAAATCCCTTACTGCTGTGTGTATCTGCTTTGCTATTTTTCACCATTCTAAGGAGAAGCTGGTCTGAGAAATTACATTGTCAGAGAGGTTACTTTTCTTTTACTGCATCAATACATGACTTTCAATTTTTGCAGAAAGGATGATATAGAGGTGAACATGGGCGAAACTCGAATAATTTCCAGTGCTGTTCTGTCTGCAGAAGATAAAGACACCCCCAGGGAGAGAATTTATTATATATTTGAAAGACTTCCAGAAAACGGTCAGCTTCAGCTCAAGGTTAGTCTTTGTACTTCAACAAAAAGCAGGCATGCAAACAACTCTCTCTTTTTTGGATAGAATGAAGTTCATCTTCCTTTTCTCCCAAGTGTCTGTCACATTTTGAAGGAGACAGCTATGGCCTGTTTGACTGTTGAAAGAGTGTTTGAACCAATCAACGATGCCGTCTCACAGGCTTTGACAGTAAAGGCCAGATCCTCAAGAGAAGGAGAGGGTGAAAAGCATAGCAGATCATCTAAGGCGACAATGGAGAGAGACGCTGGGAGAATCAGCACGTGGAGGGCAAAAACAAAGTGTCAAAGATGACAGAGGTGAAGGGGGAAAGTTCTTGATCAAAAAAAGTGACAAGGAAGCCATTACTTCAGTTACTTCAGGATTCAGAAAGAATGGAGGAAGATGTGTGTGAAAGAGTGAGGGATAAATCATGAGCTAGAAAAAAAAGTATAAGGGGAAGGAAGGGAAAAAAGGAAGAAGATTAAAAGGCTACAGAAAGAAGAAAGGCAGAAAATAAAGTTTGGAAATGGAAGGAAAGTTGACCATTAATGACCAAATATAGGCCACATGAAGGAACAAAGTTAGAGGAAATACCTCTTTTAAATTGCATGCATATATAATAGAAAAAAAAAATAAATCATTTTTTAAGACCCATAAGTATGGAAAGTATTTTGATGTCGGATCCTTGTAAGAACCTGTGGATCACAGGATCATAGAATCATAGAACAATTTGGGTTGGATAGGGCATTAAAGCTCATCTAGTTCCAATCCTTCTGCCATGGGCAGGGACACCTTCCACCAGACCAGGTCACTCCAAGCCCCATCCAGCCTGGCCTTGAATACTGCCAGGGATGGGGCATCCTCGTCTTCTCTGGACAGCCTGTGCCAGGGCCTCAGTACCCTCATCATGAAGAATTTCTTCCTGATGTCTAACGTAAATCCACTCTCTGTCAGCTTAAAGCCATTCCCTCTTGTCTTGTCACTACTTGATTTAACAAAAAAGCCCCTCTCCAGCTTTCTCCATTTAGGTCCTGGAAGGCTCCTCTAAAGTCTCTCCGGAGCCTTCTCTTCTCCAGGCTGAAGAAGCCCAACTCTTTCAGTCTCCATAGGAGTGGTGCTCCAGCCCTTGGAGCATCTTCATGACCCTCCTCTGGACTCATGCCAACAGGTCCATGACCAAAACTCACATGAGACTTGTGAATTAAAGGGATCCCACTCACTGGCTGAAGTCTGACAGTTTGAACATTCAGGGAACCCATGTGTGTTTGAGCTCTCTGTCCTTGATAAGCTTTGCTCCAAAGCAACTGACGCTGTTACTGCAGGCTAAATGTCAAATACACAGATCAGTCCAGCTACTGTGCTATCTTCAGAAAAGCAGGAAATTTTATTTGTCAATTCAATTCTTTCCATCAAAGGACAACCTCTGGGGCTCTCAATTTCTCTGATTTCCTGAAGTTTCCCATGGGTTCACTTCTGATATCCCTTTAGGTATGGTTTAGGAAGGAACCAAAGGCAGCTTTGTGAAATTAAGAAATAGAAAACATATGCTAGGTCAGGAACCATTTAATATTCATCTTGTTGGTTTTCAAAAAGAAGTGCGCAGAAATGTATTTCCTGGAGTAAAAGTAACTGAGAAGGATGCATAGGTGACTATCTGTTTAATAAAGGGTGTTTACTCTTTCCAGGTAGGCCAAAGCTGGATAAGTCTCCAAAATGGAATGAAGTGCAGTCAGGAAGACCTGGATATGAACCTTGTGAGATATGTCCATATGGGAACTATAGGCTCAAAGAACCAAGACAGCTTTACATTTTATCTGTGGGACGGGTACAACAGGTCCCCAGGTGTGGAGTTCTACATAAATATCAAGGACATGGAAAAGGGTAAAGATCTGTCAGACTTGACATTTTACAGCCTGTTTCTGAAACAAAGATGATGTGAATATGTGTCCTGATACTTCCCTGAACATTATATAGGCCCTTGACAAGTCTCCCTGCAGATCCTGAAAGGTCTCTGCATGGATTTCACTTCTGGCCAGAGCCCTGATGCTCCTGCTGGTGAAGAAGTGGCCCTGGGATTGGAAAAGGCACTGCCTAAGGCAGTGTGTTGCACCTTGCCTCTCAGGACTCTCAGCTACTTTTCAAATAGAGTTGAAAATATCCTTCTGAAACTAGATTTATGTTTGAATAAAAGCACAAGAAAACTGCAAGAATGTAATAAGGCAGACAAAAAGCCTTTCAAGAACATCTAGGTCTCCCAGGCTTATGCTCTATTCTTATGGTCCCTCTTCCTTTATTGCATTCTTATTAGAAACTGAAATTAGACCAATTTAACCTGACACTGCTAAAATGGGAAAAAAAGTTCAAAGAGGTTGTGCTGTCTCCATCCCTGGTAGTTTTCAAGCCCTAATAGATAAAGACCTGAGCAACCTTGTTATGGGTGATCTTATGGCTGACCCTGCTTCAAGCAGAAGGTTGGACTAGAGAGATCCTGAAGTACCTTCCAGACTGACTTTCCCTATAATCATACCGCCCTATGATTTTTCTGCTGGTGATGGCTTGCATGTGGCTAAATAATGCAAAAGAGATCAACTTATGATTTAATATGACTATGTTAGTGTTTTGTCTATCTTGCAGGAGACATTGCTGTTTTTATAAAGCCTCTTACAGTGCCAAAAGGGGATCAGGGCTACATTACAACCGACGTCCTCCTTGCACTGGATGGTACTGACATGCCAGAGGAACTTCTGTATGTGATAACCTCCCCACCCCAGTATGGACAAATAGAGTATGTCAGCTATCCTGGCATCCCCATTACAAGCTTCAGTCAAATGGATGTAGTAAGACAGATAGTTTGCTATGTTCACAATACAAAGGCAGTTGTTCCTGAAGATACATTCAGGTAAGGGATAACAAACACTTCACCTCCTGAGCTTTCCCCCTTGGATTTTTTCGGTATTCAGAAAAACTCACAACACAGAAAAAACAAAAACAATTAAAAATAGGTGGAAAGCCTGTGGGAATTCAGAGTATTCAGATAGCAAAGATATTTCTACTATAATATACACAGTTGTGAATAAATGCATTTTCTAATTGATGTTGAAATTGTAGCCAGATCACATTCACTCAATCATACTAGCGTCAATAGTATTATAGCACCCATACACATCTGTAAAGATATAAGTGCTGGAGAAGGACTCAGAACATACTTTGTGGAATTTTCCTTTGGTTTCTTGCTACAGCTGGATGTGGTAAAACTGGTCCATTCAGGTATTGAATAGCTTCTTTCTTGTCTATTCTTACTTATCATACTAATTCGGCTCCAGGCTTTTTGAATCCATAAATGGTTCTTGAACAAAGTGAAAATCAGTCCACTTAACCTATTTTTCACATCACAATAGCTCAGAAATTCATGTAGACAATCGGATTTTTGAGGTAAACCTTGTTACCTATAGATCCAGTTCAGCAGCCTAGAGATATTTGTTTACTTTCACCCAGTTCTGAACTTTCCTCTTGGGTCTGCTTAGCCTAAAGTGAATACTTCCTTATTTTATTCTTAAATGAACCTCCCTTGTTTATAGAGTGAAATGATGTAATGAGTTATCATCAGGTAAAGACAAAGCATACACATTGTTGCTCCAAGTCTCAGGGACGGTTTTGTAAAAGAGAGAAAATTCAGGGGAAAAGAACCTCTCAGAAACAAACAAACTTGCTTCCTGCTAGCATTGTCTATTTTGTCTGAAAGCATTTTTTGACAGAAAATGAACTTTCTACAAAATTCAGTTTTTCCACCCAAAATGAAAAGTTCATTGTTTTTTCAATTTTGACCAAGAAAAATTAAGGATTTATCTTCTAAGTGTTGAAATTTAGAAACAACCACTTTTTACACTCTATTATGACTAGATTCCTGATGTAAATGGCATTTTCCATGATGCATGATGAAGATTAGAGAGCATGTTGTGTCATTCGTTTTGAGAGGTATTTTGCAGGAAAGTCAAGCAAGCAGGGCATGGAGACATTAAATAAATCTCCCTATGACATGGGGCAGCTCAGGTGACATTATCTAGAATTAAGCCAAAAGTAATTTTGGAATTTTCCTTAGTTTAAACATTTTAAACTATCCCTCCCACTAAATTCCATGTAACGGATACTTGTCTTATCTACTTGAGTTGTAACAGAAAAAGTGAACAAATATTTTCTGGCTTTATGTTTCTCGATTGTGAAACACTACAACCAAAACTAGGATTGGCTTATATAAGCAAGGTTGCAGTCACGCCAACCCTAGGCTGTAGGAGTGGCTTAAGTGAGTATGACCTCTATACCACACTTACGAAAAGCAGACCAAATGATTCCAGGGAAACCATGCATGTGGATAAACCCAGTGTCTTCTGTTTAGGTCAATGGCTATGAACAAAACTAGAAAAGTAAGATTACTAGCCTATAAAAGTGAGTTTATAACGCTTTAATAAATATTGATATTCAATAACTATTTAAATCACAATAATTAGTATCCTTGATGTTGTCATTTGAAAAGAATTTGGTTTTGTGTAGACATACAAATATCGTGGTAGAGTATTATGATTACTTGAACAAGGAATGGTTACATTAATTACATGGGTAATTATAGGGGGAGGAGGGATTAACTGATCAAATTTTTACTGTCCACTGAAGTACTTCCTTCAGACATAAATTTGCCTGTATTCTTTGGTGCTGGTGGCTTGGAAGAAAGATTTGGCAGTGCTTGTTTGGACAGACAACTTCAAGTGGTTAGCAACCTGACATCAGATGCTGGCAGCAGGATATGAAAAGAACATGCTAATGTCCTCCATTTTGACATGCCGGCTCGATTTTGTAATAAGCTGGCACTATTTATGATTCCATTTTTATCTTTTAAATGCCATGGCAGATGGTAGGTCCTGCAGCCAACTTTGTTGCCATCAAACTGCAGAAAGCATGAAATGTTGGTAATGGTGAAATCAAATCACGCAACATGTCCTCCTAAATGTGCCTGAGATTTGTCCCCTGAATTTCATTAGGGTGAGGAGAATATTGGCTGCTCTCTATTCCTAAGGAAATGACGAAGCAGCCATAAAACAGAAATAACCAAAATCTCCCAAAGTGCAGAAAAAAGGACATCTTGGACACAGGCAGTTCACCACCTGTGAAATTAAATGGTGTATGACATTTGCATGGTAAATTTCAGTCTGATATATATCCCAGAGGTTTCCTCCTATCTGGTGCTCTGTAGAAGATTGGATGAGTCTTCAGTTTCATGAATGGAATTATCTAAGTCTTTCACTTAAATCATCCAAATTATTTTACAGCCATCAAAAGAACCAGAGGAAACTCACTTCTGCTGCAATCTTGTAGACTCTTTGAGAAATGGTTAAGGTCTTGACTGAATGTGTTTTGCCCCTTTTTGACTTAGCATTGCACTATTGATCATTCTAGTTCTGTATTTGATTTCAGCTAAATTACTAATAGCACAACCCTTTTACTATTGGCACAATAGCACTAGGTCAGTGCAGACAGATGTCTCTAGGTTCCCAGCTGGGAATACCATCCTCAGTAAACATATTTCTAACTGCTATATAGTTCCTGGTCTGCCTATGCTCATTCCCATCTGTTACATGGCATACTGCCAGTTTACAAGTTGATCAAGCCTAATCATCAAGCATTGGTGAAGGCAGTGAGTAATTTTAGATGGACAGTCTGCGTGACACAGTAAGTTACTCCATGACCTAACTGAAGGTCACTTACATTCAAGGCATGCAACAATAGGCCAGGCTTTGACCCTCTAATTATTTAAATACTTCTTTGATCTGTGCAGCCAAGAGAGCAAGGGGAGGCAGGTAATTTAAATGTCAACCAGTTCCCATTTCACTTCTGAATGGTACAAGCATGCTATGTGAAAAGCAGCCAGTTAGGCTGGCCCTCGTAGTGCTTGAAACAACTGTTTGTGACAGTGTCCCGTACAAGATCAACTTCATAAGGTTTATGTAAGCCAGAGGGTGCACTAAGGCCGCAGCCAGCCTGCCATTTTAGATCTGCTCCATCTGTATCTAAGGTAGCAGATTAGATCAGCTCTGTTATGATTACTAGGTTGATGAGTACATCCTCAAAGCCATTCTTCTGGCATCTACTCAGATTGCTACAGATGCAATTGTAACTCTTGACATATACCTAGCCATCTGCTTTCATGATTTTAAGTCATACACCCACCCCACCCACAGCCTGGCTTTGAGCTCGAACCAGCTCTACTACTTTTAAAGTATCAACACAGGCAAGTCCTGTAGTAAAGGTGTGTATTGTCATTTCATTTCAGTACATGGTGAATCAAGAACATATGCTGAAGACTACCTTGCCTCTCTTTGCCAGATTCATCATCAGCAATGGAATAAGGACTAAGCACGGGACATTCAAGATCTCCTTGGAGGCAGTCGACCAAGCTTTACCCACACTGTCTAGGAACATGGGGTTAAGATTAGTGGAAGGCACTATGGCACTCCTTTCTCCTGACCTCCTGCAGCTTTCAGACCCAGACACTGCCAAAGAAAACCTTACCTTCCTCTTGGCTCAGCTGCCCCAATACGGTCATCTCTATTACCGAGGGGTTGTGCTACTGCAGCACAATTTCACCCAGCAAGATGTGGACAACAGGGATGTTGCATACAAGCACGGAGGTGGGGATTCCCAGATTGACAGATTTACATTTGTGGCAACAGATAGGACAAATCAAGGATTCATCGTGAAAGGGAGGGTGCAGAGTGAGCCAGTGGCATTCATCATTCAGGCAAGTGTGACTACAGGCTTACTTAAAAGAGGTACATAGCATGGTAAGGTGGAAAACATAGTAATTTTGATGAGAACTGGTACTTGCTGCAGTTTATGATTTAACTGAGGTATTTGTCAGCTAAAATGTTTGCTTTCTGTGTTCCATCAGTAATTAACTACTTGCCACAATGTAATTAAAAGTAATTAACTACTAACTCAGGCAAAGAATTTTATAGAGTTCAAAGACAGAGACTGTTTGAGAAAAAAAAAGACATCTTGCTTATATAAGTATGTACTTATATTTGCTGAAATATTTTACACAGAAATCTCAACTCTAAATCTGAGCCCAGCTGTTGGGAGGAATGAAATTCCTCCTGCTCTGCTTACCCACTTGGTACCTGACTCCCTGATTTGCATGTGAGGGACACTAGCATGATTGTTGATCTTCACATCACAGGAATCTTGAATTACAGACACTTTGCTCCCACAGCCAGACAGCCTGTCTTCCTTCTGGTAGTCTTTGCCTGCTCTGATTCTTCCTTCCCTTACTAGACTATTTCTGTTCACTTCCCATTTTCCTTATTTTCAAGTTCTTCCCACTGTGTCATAGGCTTAGGTGCTTCTTCTATGTATGTATGTATCTGGCATGTTTCAGGATGAAAAGCAGGCCTGGTTGCACTCTATGTCAAAATTCTGTAGTTTTCAAAACACTGATACTAATGAAAATGCTCCTAACTTTTCCTTATTATGAAGTCTGAAGTTACATGATGAGCAATGATGCTGTGTCATCAGAAGATTAGGTATAAAACCAGCAACAACTGTTGCAGAGTGCTAGAAGATTCATTAGAAGTTATGAAAGGTGGAACAGATTTTAGGAGACATAGTTGCCATGTCTATGACTACGATTATCATAATCTTTAGGTTTCCAAGCTTGTTATTGTAAAATATTGGTGAGAAGCCCTTGTTTTGCTATGAAAAAAATTACATCAAAAAGGAGAAAGACTATGGGGAGTGTGGGACATCAAGGCAGAGGTACACAGAATTTGTATTGCCCTCCCCAGTGTGTGCTGTAGCCCACTGCATACATCAAGTGACCGGGCAATGTGGGCCTGGAAACACCTCATGGGAAGTAGTACTTTACTGGGGATCAGACTCTTGGAGTACACTGCAAGTCAAAGTGGCTATTGCTACCCTAAGGTAGCAGTTACAGTGCAGTAGCAGGTTACAGTGCTTTTAACGAAAGTAAGACAGAGAATATTCTGATGCTGTGAAATGAATATCCATTATTCTAACCTTGATTTAGGTGGATCATTTGGACAAAATGGCACCAAAAATTATTCACCTCCATTGCTCTTCTGATGTGGAACTGCTGAAGAATGGCAATTATGGGATCTACATTACTGCCAGGTCCCTGAAGGCATCTGACCCCAATACAGAGGATGACAAAATAATATTCAAGATTTTACAAGGTCCTCGTTATGGCTACCTGGAAAACATAACAACAGGTGCTGTCTTCTATGATCTCTGTATTTTGGCACAAACATACCCTGTTCATGTTTGCATGATAGAAAAAATCAAAATTTCTTATAAAATTTTGGGCAAGATTTGAATGTAATAAGAAAGCTTTTACACTAAAACTTGAGTGTCACATTCATCATGAATGTTCAGAGATTTTGAGATGATTGTTACTAGCTGCCTTTGAGAAATTTCTTGGTTTTTTGTTAAGATAAAAAAAGAACATTGAACTTGGCCATTTGATAAATACTTCAAATGGAAAGAAATTGGTGGGAGCTTGTACCAAGCTGGTATATAGCTCTTTGGCTATAAAACCACATTTCTGCAAGTTCAAATTTTCTAAGTGCTCAATAAAAAGTTGAAAGCAGCCTGTATGAGCTATGTGGTTCTTATTAACAGGCTTCTGATTCACCTGAATGTTCCTCTTCTTTCCCAGGTGGATTTATTCAGGAAAGTTTTAGCCAGAAAGATTTAAACAGCAAAATCATACTTTATGTCATCAACCCATTGTGGGAAGTGAATGCAGACGACTTGGAGTTTCAAGTCACAGATGCCAGTGGAAACTCAGCAGTGCCCCAAAGGTAACTCTGACCAACCCTTGGTGGTGTGTGCTTTCCCCACACCAAATGAACACAGGCCAGGCTTGAAGCCACGCAGGCATGAATGTAGCTGTGAATCTAACAGCCGTTCTGTTGAAGAGTAGAAAGGTTTCTTCCCTCAGGGAGGTGAAATACAAAGAGCCAGCTCCAGGTTAGACTGGGGCACAGTACTCGATCCTTTGGGGTGTCATAGGAAAACATAATGGAGTTTACTGCAAGTGGCAGTTGGGCTTTGGAGATGGGAGACACTGAGTCCTGAAGAACTGGACTGTTGTTTCATGTACATGGTCCTGCAGCTGGAGGTCACTCTTGCCCTGTGCTGATGGCAGCGCTTTTTTCATAAGCTTGAGATCACAATGGAGGGAATGCTCTCAAGCAGCAAAAGCTAAGACAGACATAGTTCTGCAAAAGAGCACTGAAAGAAGTTGGAGGGGACACATCCACTGCCAAAACTTATATGTGACATATGATAAGCCTCTTGGACAAAAATTAGAGACTGGGGTGTCATCTGAACTGTGCTTTGAGGATTAAGGCCAAAGTGAGAGTAGCTCTACAGCAAGGGCAATGTTTCTCTTTATTTCTGAAAATAAGGCTGAATGTTCAACCACTTCATTTAGTCACAAGTAACAGAGAAAAATAATACATGTGACTGTGCTTCTCAGCAACCTAGTCTAGTCGAAGATGGGGGAATTGGACTAGATGTTATTTGAAGGTCCTTTCCAGCTCCTCTATGGTTCTATGATTCTGGGCTTCCTGGGCTAAAGTGGCTATTCACAAAGCAGGACCCATGGTGAGAGAAAAGCATCAGAGAGCTGGTTCCAAGGGCCAGTCTCCTCTGCAAAGTGCTACCCTGCACTCTAGATTGAACAGAGCCGAGCTGGAGAGAGCGTTCTGGCAGTTATGTGCTGTGCCAAAAGATGTCCCCATACACAAACACATAGAACACAGCCAGCCTAGGCTCTTCCCAGCTGCACTGTGCTGGCTCACAGATGTACTAATATTAAACCACCATCAAAACACTGCCATTCCTCTTGGGAAAGTGTGGCTTCTTGTATATAAATAGCAATGCATAACATAGCTTTACAGAAAGAGCAAAGAGAAAGCACCTTTTGTATGGAAAATGGGAGTTTCAGAGAAGTAGAAGTTCTCTGTTAGCTGCACTGGATCTCAGAACAAAGGGATTTTGTTTTTTTAAGGAAAAGACAGTAATTTTAATATTGGGTTTAAAAGCTTGTGAGAGGTATTTTTTTGTTGTTTGTTCACTTTTTGTTTTTTTTGTGTGTTTTTTGTTATTTTGTTTGTAGGTTTTTTTTTGTTTGCTTGTTTGTTTGTTTTGTTTTGTTTTTTTTTTTAATTTATCACCTAATGATCACTGGTGCAAAATACAAGTTTGATATTATTAAAAATTAATCCCAGCTTTTATCTGAATGCTGCTGAACTACACCTGGTACATGCACCCTCTTTCGCAAAAATAAAGCAAATCAGCTTCTAAATGGGTTCTCACAAAATTAGTATCAGAGGATACAGGCGGACAGGAAGAAACTTCCACTGATGTTAGAGTTCATCTACCTTGAAAGGTCTAGAAGTTTGTTTTAGGAAAGTTAAAAATGTTTCGTAAGTAAGTATCACAGCTCATTTTCTTTCTTTCTGCTCTCCTTCATTTCTCTCTGACGCTCACTAATTCTTGTCACAGCTTTTAAAAACACAAGAACTTTATTTGCTATCCTGTACAGCATGCAATCCTCTGAGGAGGATTTTAAATTCAGTGTATGAGACACCTGGACTCAGCCACTTCAATGGTTGAAGAGTGAAGTACACAGAGAATTCAAGTAGGGTAAATGTGCAAAGTCCTAGAGTGTGACCTATATGCTACAGGAGGAGAGATAGAGGATAGATGAAGGAAGGTGGGAATAAAAGAAGATATTACAGAGAACATACAGGAGAGTGAGAGTAAAGTAAAACTACAGGGTTAAAGGGAACCAGGAAGAAACAGTGATAGTTTGTCTTGGCCTATTTGCTGTTGCAAAGATGCTGCAGCATCCATCTAGATCTGAAACAAGGTTCAGACTTGGCATGGGGTAGACTAGGACTTGACTGGAAGATTTATTGACTGAGTGGAAGATCTGTTAGCTGTCTCTCCTCATTTCTGATCAGCCAAATCAGACAAATATGCTGATTTGGAAACAAAGGCTCAGTATGTGTATTGGCTAAATCAGCAGTCAGCAGAGAAACAGCTCTTCAGTGAACCTGGCAGCAGGGGGTGGGGGCAGCAGGGGAGGTGGCTTTGCTTCTTAAGGGCTTTCCCTCCTCTCCTGCAGGCTGGAGCTACGGTGGTCTCGGATTGAAATGCAACAGACTGAATATGAAGTGTGTGAGACCATGGGAGTGGTGTCTCTGAAAATCACCAGGGCTGGACACTCCGCAGAGTCTGCCTTTGTGGATGTGAAGGTAAAGCTAAAAGACAAACTCCTAACTGGAAACTTGACAGTAAGCAGCGCAGTTCATTAAATTTTCCTTTGGACTTAAAAGATACTTAAGCAATCAGCAAAGTGGCTGTGCAATTCAAACCAGACTTACCAGAACATTGTCCTTGCTATGCAGATGGTTGAAAAATTGCTAACAAACTTTCTGAGTTTCAAGTAGAAATGATGATTAACCACAACTGGAATGTTTTGGAGTGGTGTTTCAGTTCTGATTACCTTCTGTGACAGAGCAGGCATTTTCCTCTGGCACTGTGCTCAGAAGCTAGGTTTCCAGGATTTGCCACATTAAAACCCAGGCTTTGGGCAACCTGGGGCCTTGGGACTTCTCATTTCCCTGCTCAGGCTGGAAGAGCCAGGGAGCTATGGGATCTTCAACTCCACAGTCATGACAGCCTTCCCCATTTCTCCCCCCACTGCCATTAGCATAGTAAGAAGTCCCAGGAACACCCTATATATTCAGTAACAGCCTCTGTCTTACTTGGAAAAAAAAAAAAAAAAATACACCAAACAATTAGTCTGAAAGCAACACGTTATAATTTTGTAAACCAGGTTTTGTGCAACTACTCTTCACAAAGTTTTTTCCTCATAAAATGGAAAGTCCAGGATTTTACCAAATCCCCTTGCTAGAAAAATACTAAAACTCACAGTTGCTAAGCATGATCACCTTAATTGGAAACATAGTTTTGATTTTTCTTTCACTGAAATCACTGAAATTTTGCTATTGACTTCATGGGGAACCATCCTGCCCTGTCCTTCATGGACTCCAGTGACTCTACTCCGGTTGTCACTTGACTAAAAAGACCAGTGAAACCGATCCTAGAACTGTGAACAACAGTGGAAACTGATGTCCTCTCCCTGTGAAAATCCAGGTAGTCACTGGTGTCCCCAGACTTACGTATATAGGGATTCATGACTATCCCCTTGAGTCTCTGGGGCCTGCCAGTCAGCTCTGTGTACAAAGACTTCTTCCAAAACCTCACAAATAGCTAAATAGGCAAATGTGGCCACGCTGCTTCTTCTCTTCCAGGACACCAGGATGTGCCTGTCCAGGAGCCAGGTATGGCTGGGTCCCCAGGCATGGCAAACAGCAGTGTTGTCTGATGCTGTCAAGTAGCTATTTGAAAGAGGAGGAGGCAAAATTTTAAGTTGAACAGGTCTTTTATGAGGAGTTTTAAAACATGAGTAAGGACAGAATGACAGTTGTACATCACAAGGTTTATTCTTTAGGCCTTTATCTTCTTTTCTTCAGCCTCAGCACATGTATTATGGGTTGGCATGTCTTTTATAGACTCTGCGGAGAGGTACACAGTAACTTCAGCACACAGCAGAATGCAGTGTTTTGGTCACACCATGGCATTCAGTGTCTGCTCTCTTCTCAGGTGAACGAAGTATCTGCTGTTCTGGGACAGGACTTTACAGTAACTTCCTCCAAGCTTGTTCAGTTTGATCCAGGTATGAACCAGTGCAATGAATAATTTAACAGTTAATTCACTGATTTTGAAAGTGTCAATTCTCATTTTGGAGAGTGAAACCTATTACCTTTCTGTAGCTAGAGGACCTGAGTGCTATCAAAGACACTTCATTTTCTGGAAATGCTTTCTTTGTGAATTTTCTGGGCTTTCTTTGTGAATTAGTATCTTATTATAGTTAAAGTTTCAAAACTGCTGTAATTATGCCTCCTTATCCCCCTACAGCTAAGCTGCAGAGGACTCACCCTAAGCTGAGCCATGAGATGCTTTAAAGATTTCAGGCATAATAGGTAAAATGCAGGATGCTGGCTAAATGTGGACAAAACTGAATACAACTTAAGTTATACAAGGTATCCAAGACCAGAAAGATGCAAAGGAACCTGATAAGTGTTAGACTTCATCTTGCTTGCACTGTAATCATAACAGCAGTCTGACCTTTGCTGAGTCCAGGATTTGAGTTTATAAAATGGGGTCTGCACAAGCCTCCCAGGATGCTTCCTGCTGTGTCAGCAGAGGTTATCCCAAGACTGTAAGCAGTAAGATTTCAGTGGCAGAAAGTCACAGTGACTACAGAGGAGACAAAATACATCATGTGTGAAAGGCTGAAATAAATGACATCTACTTGATAATTAAAATTGGTCTAAGTGCTTACCTGCATTTGAAAAGCAGATATGGGGAATACAATACATCAGTTCCAGCCAAAGCCTGGGGACTTTAGAAAAAAAAAACACTGTATCCCATGGGTGAATTCATATATACCCAAGCTTTGCTTGCCTATTCCATAGAAAAAAATGTGGCTTTAAGTTCTGAATCACAAATCTGATTACTTTGTAAATCTTCAACTACAGTCCATCTTGAGATTTTATGTAAAGGTATAGAATGAGCGAATGCAGGTTATTTTTCAGAGGTGGATAAGAGAGGACACCCAGCAGACAGCAGTAAACAAAAAAACCTGTGTGGAAAGGTGAAAATCTGCCCTAATTTCCAGTGGAACACACGAGAAACCTCTGAAACCAATAAGCCACTCTCTGAGACCCTTTTATCTATCCTTAGATTTTTGTTTGCTTTCTTTAAATTAGAAGATGGAAGAAAGATCTGAGAGGTAAGTGTTAAAAGTCCTTAATACTGTGCTGACCCAGGATTCCATCATTCTTTCCTCTAATGTACTACACAGTCAGGCTTGCCAGACTCTGAATTAAAATGGCTCAAGATTGTTACAAAGAAATTGTGACAGGAGATACACACTGTCTGGCCACCTTCTCAGTTTTAAGCCTGCTGAGCTCCCTCACACAGTCCTTTTTGCGTGGCTCTTTATTTAGACTTAACTGTAGGGAAACACCCTCCAAACTCTTATGTTCAAGGTATCAGTTTCTTAGTTCTAAAATCAAGTTTTTGATAGTTATAATTACTTAGTAAAGCTTTAAAAACAACCCTCAGCTGTGCTCTTGACTGGACTGATAGGCACATCGGACTGCAAACAATAAACTGTAGGGGAAAGGGGCAGAAGACCCTAACCAAGTATATGGGACTGTACACGGCTTCTCTTAGCTAGAAGATTCATACTGGAAAAGACGAAGGAAATAGAGCTTAGGCAGTGTCATAAGGATGTAGAGATTTATTTTTACAATGTTGCACATGTACCTTTGATACTAATTTTGGATGTCAGTGCTGACTTTGTGATGCAGAAATAGTTCCCAAGAAGTTTTGTTGACAGCAATGGGTATGTTGAGGTCTGTTTCTGTCCTGCTGCCTCTGACCTTTCCTGAACAAATTTTAGCCTTTTGGGTTAATAACTAGCCTCGTCCTTTATCTTGAAAAGATCATTTCCATAATACAAGCCTGAAGTTATGCAATAAAGGCAAGCAACGCAGCAAAAGTTTTGTAACCAAGTATAAAATCTGCCTCAAAAGTTGTACCTCAATCTAAGAGAGTCTTTGATCCATTTGCAAGTATTTTAAATAGTCTCTAGAATAGATCTTTCAAGATAAAAACCATATGATTTTCTCCTAGAAATTGAAATGGAAGTCCCAAATCTATGCATTGTAATGTCATTTTGCACATCTGCAGCAATTTTTTGTTACAGTATGTGCACTTGAACTTGAATTTGTTCAGGAAAATATTTGAACTTAATGTTACTTGGGAGAACAGCAGGAGTCCAGTCAGTTGGTAAGAGCATGATAGCATACACCAGCTACTCCATTCTAGCTGCAGACATGTTAAATTAATATATTCCTCTGACACCCTGATTGATTGAAATAACACTTAAAGAGTAATTACAATGTTTATTTCTATTAGGAATGTCAACCAAGACATGGAATATAGCAATTACCTATGACGGATTAGAGGAAGATGATGAAGTCTTTGAAGTAGTTCTAAACTCCCCTGTGAATGCTGTTCTTGGCACCCAGACAAAAGCTGTAGTGAAAATTTTGGACTCAAAAGGAGGTATTCTCTTTTGATCTTCATCATTAAGAAGGTGGGACAATCTTGGCTGAGTAGCTACTTATTTTCAACCATAAGTAGTTCCTAACACTCACCTTCAGATCAAAATGCTTAATTTCTTTTCGGGAAAACAGGCTTGACAGTTGCAGATTCTTTATTCTCTCACACAGTCATATGCATCCTCTTAGGAAACACAGCGTGCAGTAAGCAGTAAGTACAAAATGAGAAGGGTGCAAGAAAAAAAACCACTTTTCATAACAACATGAGTTCAGTTCCCATTTATTAAAATGGGAATAATGTTTTTAGGTCCATTAGAATTTTTTCCCTGTTATTGTTCAATGGTTAATGTTGCACGCCTCTAAAAAAAGATTTATTTTCCTCTCAAAAAAGATCCTAACAACTAAACCCAGCTCTTAGCAACACATTTTCTAATGCTTAACAAACAGAGTCCACAACATTAAAGCACACAGCAGTGATCATCACAGTTCAGGCTTTTGAGCCTGCACTATTATGCTGTTTCTCAGTCATCAAATGTGGTGTTCCTAAAATCACACTGAAAAACAAGCAACTGTAGAAAGCTTGAAATAGCTAGCAAGGCAGCAGAGTCCTCTGAAAGCACAAGAATTTTTTTAACTCTGGTCCTTAGTGAAACAATATTTTAAATACTTGTGTTGCAATGAATTAGGCTTCAGTTTACAAAAAATCCTTTTAAAATTTCAGACCTATTTTCTTTATAACATCATAATGTAAATCAGGAGTTAATTCATGTAATTCGTTTGTAGGAACAATAGTGTCCTGGATTTCTGGACACTGGAAAGTTATCTGGGTGTGACAGAAGTACCACTGACATTAGCCAAACACACCTGGCTATCCATGATCAGAATCCTAGTACTCCAAACCCCAATCTGTGCATGAAAACAGGTAATTTCAGCAGATGCTTGACTGAAATTCTGATCTGTAGATAAACACATTATGCATAAAAACACATATACAGGTAGTAGTTGCAGTCATAGTCATAGCAAACCCCACAAATAAGGATGACTGAATGAACAACAAATCAACTACACCAAGTGAAAGAATCATCCAACTTTTAATGACAAGCTGTTTATGTGCCCATGTCAACGTGACCAGTTATCTGCTCATGCAGTTAGAACTGACCATCTGCCATTTTTTATGCTTTCAGGTCAGTGCAGCTATTCCCATTCTTCTGGCCAAAGCAAGCATGACTACTGGGGGAAAGGCACACTGTTTCCAGTTTCCTCGGGCTCTTCATCACTTCCCAGGCCTGGCAATGCTCCCTTGGAAAGGATCCCACTGCTTCCTTCAAAAAGGATAAGAGAGAATGGAGGGGACCCACAGCAGGAACACAGCTTGGTGAATCAGAAAAGGACCAGGCTGAGAGTGACTGGAAATGGCAGAATAGTAAGACATTTCTGTAATGCAGTGATGGACTGATTTGTAAATTAATTGGGATGTGACATCTTCATTTAGTGCTTTTTGTAGTCATCCTAATTGACTGTATAATAACCATAAGCTACCTGAATTTTCTCTGAGTCATAAGTGAGAGGTGTTTAAAAATACTGTGAGATAAAAATATAATAATATTATTAATAATAATAAAAATCATAATTTTGATGATCCATGTATGCAAGAGAATAAAAACAGAGTCGGGGGAAGAAACATGCACCAGGCAACTTCAGCAATTACACAGTTTCTAATCTTGTCTAAATTATGGATCAGATAGAAGAAAGAAGTTACACAGTTACACACACAGTATGCCAGAGATTGGAAGGGACCTCAAAAGATCATCTAGTCCAATTCACCTGCCCGAGCAGGAACACCTAGATAATGTTACACAGGAATGTGTCCAGGCGAGATTTGAATGTCTCCAGGGAAGGAGACTCCACAACCTCCCTGGGCAGCCTGTTCCAGTGTTCTGTCACCCTCACTGAGAAGTTTCTTCTCAAGTTTAAGTAGAACCTCTTGTGTTCCAGTTTGTACCCATTACCCCTTGTCCTATCATTGTTTGCCACTGAGTAGAGCCTGGCTCCATCCTTGTGACACTCCCCCTTTATATATTTATAGACACTTATAAGGTCACCCCTCAGTCTCCTCTTCTCCAAACTATAGATACCCAGCTCCCTCAGTCTTTCCTCATAAGGGAGATGCTCCACTCCCTTAATCATCTTCGTTGCCCTGCGCTGGACTCTCTCCAGCAGGTCCCTGTTCTTCTTGAACTGAGGGGCCCAGAACTGGACACAATATTCCAGATTCGGTCTCACCAGGGCAGAGTAGAGGGGAAGGAGGACCTCTCTCGACCTACTAACCACCCCCCTTCTAATACACCCCAGGATGCCATCGGCCTTCTTAGCCACAAGGGCACAGTGTTGGCTCATGGTCATCCTGTCGTCCACTAGGACCCCCCAGGTCCCTCTGCCCTACACTGCTCTCTAACAGGTCGTTCCTCAACCTATACTGGAACCTGGGGTTGTTCCTGCCCAGATGCAGGACTCTACACCTTCCCTTGTTATATTTCATCAAGTTATTCCCTGCCCAACTCTCCAGCCTGTCCAGGTCTCGCTGGATGGCAGCACAGCCTTCTGGCGTGTCAGCCACTCCTCCCAGCTTAGTGTCATCAGCAAACTTGCTGATAGTACACTCAATTCCCACATCTAAATCATTGATGAATATATTAAATAATACTGGTCCCAGTACTGACCCTTGAGGCACTCCACTAGTTACAGGCCTCCAACTAGACTCCGCCCCATAGACTACAACTCTCTGGCTTCTCTCCTTCAGCCAGTTCGCAGTCCACCTCACTACCTGATCATCCAGTCCACACTTCCTCAATTTATCTGTGAGGATGCTGTGGGAGACTGTGTCAAATGCTTTGCTGAAGTCAAGGTAGACCACATCCACCGCTCTGCCATCATCCATCCACCGTGTTATTTCCTCATAAAAGGCTAAGAGATTGGTCAAACATGATTTCCCCTTGGTGAAGTCATGTTGACTGCCCCAAGTCAGTAGAGCCAGGAAAATGTACAGAAGCTGTGCATCTGGTCCTGAAGTATTAGAGCTGAAAATACTGCTAGCTTAAACAGGAAACTGTTACTTAAAACGTGCCTATTGATTTTCCTGCTTAAATTATATTGCTTTAACTAGCTGGTTTAGTAACATTCCACTACTGTAATCTTAAAGGTTAGTGAAATCTGTTTATAAACACATTCCTAATAGGTGACTTTTAATGGCTGTTTTCAGAGTTGATCAGGTTCCATTCTGAGAGAGAAAGAACTAAAGCCAAGATACGTGCTGCATGAACTGTGACCTAGATCTTGTAGTAAATCTCGTATAAAGTCTTTCTGTTTCTATAATACATGAATATGCCCATCTCATTCTGCTATTCTACTGTTTTCAGGTTCATCCTTCATCTGTATTTAGAAATGGAACTGACGTGGTTTTCAAAGTAAGAGTATTAGGAATACTTTTCAGAGATTTCTATGATTTCTTTCTGATTCTGTTCTTTCCAGAATATTTCTTTCTTAATAATTCACTATGACCCATACTTTATTTTCCTTTGCACCATTATTTTTTTTTTTTGTGGTATCACTTTCCCTTGATTTGCAACAATTTCTATTATAATTATCTTTTAATTATTATTTTGTTTTGGTTTGTTTTAGAGTTGCTTATATGTGCTAACCTTTGCTTTTCCCTCTCCTGTTCTCTTTGTGTGTGTAATATTGTGAAACAAAGCATCACGGGATGGTATCACTCAAAATAGAGGATGACACCTCATCAGCTAAAGCAAACAAGAAATCTCAAGTGTCAGTAATTAACCAAGCACAGTCACAGATAAATGTCATCTCCTCTAGGAGCACAGAAATCCCACAAGCTGATAAGGCAGAACTGGCATCTGGACCAAGCTCAAGACATCAGGTACGAAACCTTTTGTTTCATAGGCATTTTCACCATCTGCTTTCAGACATGCTGTTTTCCAAAATGCTTTAACACTTCTCAGATCTGCAGCCTAACCTTTCCCACTCCAAAGCTGAGTCTAACCAATACACAGATAAATTAACAATTCAGCATAAAGTTTAACATAAAACCTATTTAATCTGTTTCAAGTAGCTTCTTTTCCGTAATTTTCTCCTTCAACTGTTCAAATGACATCTCTCTTTCCAGGACTTCTACTCTTTCCCAAAGGCCTGTACAGAAGATTTAAAGGGGCTCTTGCATTATGAAGAAAGCACTCAAAAGTTATTTCAGTGTGATGGGATAATATGGCAATTCTGGAATTCCCAAAGCAAGGTAAAAATGCCACCATAACTATGCATCTAGATGGAGTCTACAATGAGTGAGACTTTCAAGCAAAGGACCTAAGTGTAACAACTATTGACTTGCATAGTGAATAAAAGAATTGTCCAGAGTCAGGTTTGCCATTCCCAGAAAAAAAGATTCCCAGAAACTTGATAAGGGTTTGATTGCCTTTCCTTTCTGTCATCCATAGGTGCCCCTGTGCAAGACACATGAGCAGTGATGCCTTGGTGCTTGTGGGGATGTAGATGAGACAGTGAGTGAATGAAGTCTGTGACAGAGCAAGGGAGTTAGTAAAATTAGCTCACTTGGGTATCCTTTTCCATCCATTTCCACATCCATTCCACAACATAAGATGTTGTCTGCACATAATGTCTGTGCGTTGCCTACACAGACTGCAGGAGACAGAAAATGGTGTCCAAACTAATTTGGTCTCTTAAGAGGGTTTTGGAACTGAAATATCAAGTCACTTTTAAAGATACTCGTTATAAATTGTAGGCTCCCCTGGCAGCCATTTATTTCTTCACATCTTTCAATCAATGCTGTAGCATTATTGCATATAGCAAAGTTCATCTTCAACTTAACTCTGGGGAGGCCACAAGCAGCATCTCTATCTTTCAGCCTCATTATTGTGCACAGACCTAATTGCTGTGAGCAGGAGTCTGTTTTGCCTTTTACTTCTTTTATTTTAGGAGGTAAGCACGAAGAAATGTCCCCCTGGATGGAGCCATCACAAGGGCAGCTGCTACTTGCTGGTAGTGAATCAGAAGGTCACCTGGAACACTGCTGCTCGGGCTTGCAGAGAACGGTAAGAGACTTGCTCGACTGAATGTATTTGCTGTGCACTGCTGTTGCCCTGAGCTGAATGCTGCTCTTGAGGATGAGTTCATTCAAATAAGTCTTACTTTGGTTGTGCTGCACAACTCCCCAGAAGAAGAACAACAAGCCCTGGGATTCAGACCCAGTGGAAAATAGCAATATTACTACTCTCAAACTGTTTCACGTTATTCACAGCATGAATTCCTGAAGCTATCCATTTGCAGTGAGGATACTTTCCTAACAGGAGAGTTAGACTGGGAAGACAGAAATAGAACAAAGCAGTCTTTTGTCCTCCCTGACACACCAATTCCTTGGCTGTACCTTCACTTTATTTAGAAACAGTACAATGTTGCCAGCTCCTGTGTGCTTCACTATGTTCTTCTGAAGATGCAGTTCTTCAGATTCCATAACTACTTCAAAACATTCAATCGTAACAGTAGATTTCTGAATGCTAGGATTGCCAGCCATGTTAGAATGGAGCTTGCCCTAGGGTCGTGCATGTTCTGTACCTTCTGTTGCATTGTGAGCACCAGGTTGAAGACCAAGATGAATAATAGGTAGGGCTTTAACAGACCTCTCCACTACTCCATGAAATGAGAAATGAAACAGGGAAGAACTGGGTATAAAAGAAACACAATGTATTCTGTAAGTGGTTGAAGAACTTGCAGATACATGAAACACGGACCAGCATGCATAACAACCCTTGATTCATTCCACTCTTATGCCAGATTATGTTGTCTTGGTAACACACAAAAGGGAAGTCTTGGTTCTCATACCCCCCAACCGATGGAAGCTATTCGTTACTAAGATATAAATGCTACCTGCTTTTTGAGGTTACCACAAATCTCACATTGTTGAATGGTTTACTTCAAATTTTGGCTTCTGAAATATTTTTCTATCACCTGCCTTTATTTTGTTACTTACCTAAGCAAATCTATGTAATCAAGTAAGCTATGAATGTTCTAATATTTATTTTTTTTTTTCCCCGGAGACTTCAACATTCAATTGATCCCTTGGGAACATACACCTTTTCCTAAAAAAGTGTGCTCCTGGTGACCCAGAATATTTATAGGAAGTAACTTCTTGCTGAAGTCTTTAGTGTGCAATGTAGATGTTAAAATGCATAACAGTAAGTTAATGACAGTGTTAAATACCTACACAAAAAGTCAAGGCATCACTGAATCCACAATGAAATGAATTCTATGGCAGTGATGATTCAATTAATGTCAGCCTATTACAAAATAAAAAAGCTTTATCCTGATAAATGGAGTAATCCTGACCTCCATCTGGAACTGATTTACAAAAGTACAACCCCATGCACACATTGAAAAGTGATACAAGAAGATAACTCTATAAATTTTATTTTGTGCTTTTGTCCAGCTCCTCCCTGGCAATCACCACTACCACCAGTTGTAGTACTTCTGTTATTAATATTTCTACTGTTGACATTTAAATAGCTGGTATTTCCAACAAGAAAATAAAATCAGCATAGATGTCAACCCTCAGGTTTTTTTTAATAGCTCAAAAAAAAATAGACATTAAATAAAAATATTAGAACCAACTTTCACTAAATCATTCCATTTCACTAAAAAATAAGAATTATTTTTATTACTACAAAAAAAAAAAAGTCATTATTTTAAACTGCTGCCCTCCTGTCCTAATGCTGTCCTAGTTGTGTGAGTGACTGGTTTAACTTGTGCTATTGCTAGTGATTGCAGAATGGGGATTCGGGTACCTAGAGTCATGTAAAGTCCCAGTGTACCTTGTCTGATTTTCAGCTGCCATTCTGGAAGTGCAGGGCTCCTTTAAGCTCTGTGTCATGTCTGACAGCCTCACCTGAATGCCAAAAGTATTGTAAGCAACATTAGACACCTATCGCAAGGCAACAGGATTACTCCGTAGGTGATTAAACAATAGGCTGGGATAAGCAGAGCCTCTCAGTCACTTCCCCCCTGCCTTCACCATCAGTACAGGACATGGATTTGCTTCAGCATGTCAAATTAAATGTCCTTCTGTGCTGCATAGATTTTCATAGCTAGTCAAGTGTGCTTTTGCTGAAGTTAAATTTATTAGAATGGGACAAAGCTCTTTTAATATTATTATTGGATAATAATATCCAATTAATATTATCCTTGGATAATTTGATGTAAAATCAGCAAAGTCTTTGTGCTAATATTTTGCATATAATACTTCAAGGTCAATGGCTACCCAAAATATTTCCTTAATTTGAGCAACTGCTTTAAGATGATGGATGCTAAATGTTGATAGCAAACATTTCAAAACACACAGGAATAATTTCAAATGGACTAATTTAGCCCAGAAATCCATGATGTGTGTGGGTTTTGGTTTTTTTTTCAAGATGACATTATGACCACTTCTCTAGAGTAATTCAAATTAGGAAGTGTTAGATTAACATAACTCCGTAATTAACATTATCTTGTCATTTCCTTTGTCTGGCACTCTGCCTAGAGGTACAGTTAGTAATATTATCCTAAGTGGTATGTTCCTTCAGGACTGTTCTCATTTCCCTACAATACACCAAAACCCTTGACTAGGTGTTAACAATTGGAGTGGCTGTTCTCTCTTCAGCCATGTGTGCTTTTCAGACTGCATTTAGGATGCACTCCTATGGAGAAAAGATTAGATAACGTTATAATTATTGCGGTGCTTTCCTTTCACAGTGATGAAGTCTCCCCCTGGTACTTGGCTTGAAGTGTGAGACTGTTATTGCTTAGACCACCCCTGTATGTCATAAATAATACAGCAGTTACTGATACACATCGACGCTTTTTGGTTTTACGTTTTCTAAAGCAATTGAAACAACAGGAAGTAAGCTATGATTATTGAAAGTAAATTACTTAGTTCCAGGGCTTTGATTGTCCTTAAGTAGAAGCCAGATAAAATGCCCTATTTCTATTCTTGCTCAGCTAGTAGTGACACCACAGAAACTGCTGCCCAAATCCCTTCTTAGCCCCAGGTTTGGTCAGGGGCCAACCATAGTCACTGTGAGGGGGAATGGCATCCTGCCATTGACTCAGTTACCTTGGGAAGACACCCTGAATTAACTGAGCCTGCCTTCCTGGATAAAGCTTAAACCTGAGCTTTTTACTGCTCTAGCACAGTCAAAATCTCTGCTGGGAGCTTCCCTTCGTGAACTTCTGGGAGCCTGTTACCATAAGCGGGTGCACAATCCTGATCCCTACCAGACAGCTGCTAACCACTTTGTGCTGGGACAGGCTGTAATGTCATTATCAGTGACTCTGAGGCCACCCTGCCACACCTCTACCTGAGGAAAGTGTATGAAGATGTCTGCAAGATCCTTTACACTTTGTTGCCTGGAGGCCCCTGAACTTGGGGGGCCAGGACAGTACCCACATTACTGTGTAGTGCTTGGTCCAGGGCAGCTGTGATTACAGCAGCTGTGAGGGCAAACCCTCAGCTGTCCCACAGGCCTTGGCAGACCTGTTGTGCAAAGCAGAGCACAGAGCGAATCACCTGCTGCTTGGTTGACTCCAGGGATAATGGAAGAGGCCTTTGCAGCAGGAGCATTCATTAGCATTAAAATGAATTTCGTCCATACCGTGTGCCCAGTGTAAGGAATGGTCCAGATTTTGTGCAGTAGGGACTGTAAAGAATACTGTGGGCTAATACTTTGAATTCCTCCTGATGCAAAATTTGCCTGCTTCCCTGTCTTGTGTGGTGTTATATGGCATCCATGGGAGCAGTACTGCTAGAAGAGTTACAAGGCAGCAAACAGGAATGGAGCTCCAGGTATGGGTCTCTAACTGGGCAGCAAGCTTAGTGGTGGGCTTGCACCCTAAGATCTGATTATGGTCTCCAGAGTGAATTCAAGTTTGCCATGCCCCTCTGGAGGTCTGGTTGTTGTCCCACCTCCGAAAGAAGACAGTCTTTACTTCCTTTGGAGCAACACTGATCTTCTGTCTCTGTTATCTGGCAACAGTCATGAAATTAGCAAAATCTTCATAATGCCATTGACTTATTCTACTGTTAGAAAAGTTTTTAGCTCTCTTAAAACATGCTTTGATGACCTGTGTTTGCTTGGGCCCTATCAAGCATCACCCAGGATGTTCTGGGAAGCTGGAGGGGTTGGCATCACTGTTAGACTTAATGGCAGTCAGAAATACGGGACAACAGAAATAAGAGAGGCTCAGCATCAGAGGGAAGGCAACAGTAGGTGCGACAGGTAAAAACGCGACATGACATCAAGGCAGGCAAAAAGATGGATCAATAAGAAAGTGGAGCCACTGATGGCTGACAGTTCCTGGCAAACATGAGGGATACAATTTGTCTCTTAATGCGACAGGATTTAGCCTGATCTCTAAATGGCTTAAGAGCAGCCTGCTGGGGCTTGCATGCTTGGTTCTAGGTGGAAGACTTCTCAGTGCAAAGGTCTGCAAGTCCTCCTTTGGGGTTGTCATACTTTAACTACAAACACAGAGCAGAGTTTACGAACTGGCTTCATTCTGAAATAGTGTTGTTAATACACAATTTGCTTTGAGCTGAACTGAGTGTGTAGCCATTGCCAACAACATTACTTCTCAGAACCATACTACCCCTCCAAGTGAGACCCCTAAATTACATGCATTTAGTTCAGTTTTGAAACATGACTAAGATTTTAACGGTTACTCAAAGCTTTAATTTTGTCAGAATGCAAATTTAAAAAGATATAGTCTGCTCTGCTACCAAACGGATGAAGCTGTATCTTTTAGTGGAGTGGGTTTTAGTGTGAGCAGATTATTATTTTAAATAAAAGAAGGTATCAATGATTGTGTCAATGGTTTAGAACTCAGTTTGTGAGTATGAGGTACATATTCCCTGTATACACTTCTTTGAATTGCCTGCGTGATTAAATTTTCTGTTAGAAAGTCAGACTAGGACTTAGATTCCTTTCTGAGAAATACAGAATTTTTAGACTTTATTTTCATGCAATTATTCTGTCATGCCAGTAAGTGGTGGTTTTCCTGCAAATGTTATTTACATGCTTTACTAGAATCAGTAGCCCTTGTTGTTAAGTGGATGGGAGGTGTCTGTCACTGTGGAATTATAATTACTCTGTGCTCTCTCCTTGAACCTAGATACCTTGGGACTCTAGCCAGCGTGGCTAATGAACAAAACATGCAGTGGCTGTGGGACTTCAGTGGGAGAAGGCCCTTTTGGATAGGTAAGTATCATCTGACTGTCACTTCTGAGGATTACAGCTCCTCTGCACCTTGGAAAGCAGAAACTGCCTCAGCAGTTCCCGTCCAGTTTTCAGACACTGGATTGCCCTCCACTTTCTGCTGATTTTCCTATTTCAGAGCAAGGCATAAGCTGCAAGCCATAATTTACCTAGCTAATTTTATAAGTCTTTATAAAAAAGAAGAGTTTATCATGCTGCCCTTTGATTGGTTGTTTTGCCTTGAAACCTTTCTTATTTTAATACTAGCTGATTAAATAAGTTCTGATGGAGCTCCTACTCTTTTGTTTTGACTGTTATCTATCTCCATTTCTTTTTAACATTAATTATTTATGTTACTGCTAATTTAATGATGTCATCCTGTATCAGAAATCGTGTTAGATGATCAGCTAAAGAAGATTTAATCTCATTACTTAAGATTTAGCTATTTCTTATTGTGCGGGTCAAAACGGTAGGTGACAAAGTGCATGGGAAGCTGCAGATCCAACAGGGCGGGCCAGTGCATGGGTAGCTTGAATTGCTCAGGAGATGACAGTCCTGGTCGGACACTTCCTGATTGCCTAAGCACCCTTTTTTCCAATCCGATTTGCATATCCCACTTGCCCTTGGTCATTGTGCTTGTAGTAAGCGTGGTTAAAGCTCTTTCTGAATCTTCGCTTGAGAAGCCAAGCCATCAATTGTGCATCTTTCATTTAAAGAGAAATAGAGAACACTCAGCTGGGCCTTCTCTGTACCTCCTGATCCCCTTCTGTGAATGACTGCCTTAGCTCATGGACTAGTGCTACTGCTTTCTCCCAATCCTTGTTTCTGCTACACTGTCCACATTTTAGGCTCTTTTTCTCCAACTATGCTGCAATTTTCAGCTCTTAGTAATTTTATAAGATGGATTTACTAGCTATAATAAACTAGCTTTCAAAACTAGTTACTTTGGGATCAGGTTTAATGGTCTGATGCTTCTGTTAACCTGAGAGAAATAAACTCCTCTGATAAGAACAAAGACCACAAGACCATTGTGTCAGTTTTCTGATCTTGGTCTCTTCTAGCTAAGAAGACAGTCACATTAGAAAATATGCCACTCATGCTGGTCTTAGTAACTCAGACACTAAGTGAAAAGACAAGTTTTAGGCTGCATTAACTAACACAACCTAATTTTACAACTGTTTATGTCAACAGTGCAAACAAGATCTGCAAAGATCTGCAGCATCTAATTTTCAGAAGGAATCTTGAGGGCATCTGGGGCTGCCTAGACTTGAATACAATATTCTGCTTGGCATCTTAAGTATCAAAAGAAAACTTGGTAGGAGATACACATGCAATAGATGGAAAGACAGATAGGCAATAATGCAGAAAAGTGTGTTTTCCCGTATTCAGATGACACCAATTATGATTTAGATGGTCTTTTGAAATATAAATTGTAATTTGCTAGTATTCTTCCTAACGTTTGTTTTTGTTTTTGTTTTTTTTTTCTCAGCACAATACTGCATACATTTTTTAACAAAGGGATAGAACAGCATGCCTCTGTTGGCATCAGCTAAAGAGAGGATAAACATCACTGATTTGCTCTTACCAATTTCACACAGGCTTGAGTGACCAAGTCAATCCTGGACATTGGGAGTGGAACGGAGGAGAACCTGTAACCTACATGAACTGGAGGAGAGGCTCCTACCACTCTCCAAAGAAAGGAAGAAATTGTGTATTGGTGCAGAAGCAAGGAAAATGGCAAGCAACTGACTGCAGGAAGGTCAAACGGAAGAGCTATATATGTTCAAGAAAGCTGTAAAGAACATAGGATCCTTGTAAAAGCGTGCAGACATTCATGTTGTTTCAGCTTTACTTATCTTCAGAAATGTAAGGGTGTGCAGTCAGAAAACTGTCCTAATTATCAGTAGGATTCATTTTATATGCTACCAGTGGCACAGATGCATGGAACTCTAACCCAAGGAATAGAGGTCAGTTGCAGGCCAAGATTTTGCAGTCCAGGCCAAGATTTTGCAGTCCAGGCCAAGATTTTGAACTCTTCCCAAAGACTCGGATCTGTCACTTTTATGTAGTTCTACACCAAAGAGCTAGACCTGAAGGTTTTAATCACTTATTTGTGTACTTTCTTTTTTTTAGAAGAGATACTAGCACATTGGTTAATGTGCTTTGCTCTTAAGGTTGTGAATTGGCTGTTTCTTCATCTGCAGAAGATAATGCAGTTTTACCCAAATGCAGGAAGACTGCTTGGGGTGGAAATGACAGCAGACTCTGCTGGATAAAAACAGGCCCTTTTGGGTGATGAGAGACATTATGTCAGGAGACTGGGGCTTCTTGGGGGACACCCTAGTACAATTTCTCACAAAAATACCAACACCAGGATTTAGTGAAAGAGTACCAACAGAAGCAAAGCCTTGTATTCTTTTTTTCTGCCTCCCAAGTTCAACTACAGATCCTAATGGATCTGCTAACACAGAGCTGCATATTGTTTCACATTCCTACTGAAAGCTGTTCAACATTTTCTGGAGTTGCAGGATAATGCTATAATTTTTAGTGTAATTAAATAATGGGACCTCTGTATATCCAAGGATGATTTACACAAAAAAAAAAATACTGAAGCTTAATCCTAGAATATTATCTTCAGTGATACATGAACATCAATAGGATTTATATGTGTGTATAAACCAATGTAATTGTGAGACATATTTTGTACTACAGCATCTATAGCTTTAGAGAAGTATTAATCTAAGTCCTTATTAGGGATTTGGGGTTTTTAAAATAATAATTAAAAATCCAGATTTAGTTCTGAGAAAGGATTAAAAATCAGAATGTAATTGGAAAAATCCAGCTGCTCGTAACTTAAATTTATTTCAAATATATGCAGTTGCAGTGTTACCATTTCCTAACATCAGACCTGTCAAAAATCTTGCTTTAGGACATTCTCACTGCCAGCCTTAAAAATCAGAAAAAGAAACAAGTCACACTCTTCCTAAAAAAATAATCAAATGTCCTCTCAAACCCTCCCTCTGCACACAATGAGTGTGTGACTGTTGCCATGGCACTGAGTAGGGTGAATTTGTCCTGCACCTCACAAGCTCTCATGGCTCCCATTTGCCTGCCTGCTGCCAGCAGCTGATTCTTCCCTTGCCCCCATCAGCCTGGCTATTTGGTCAGACTCTGGATCAACCACATCTGTGCGCTCTTTGCACCAGAAGTGCAAACCCTCCTCCTGAGGTTCCTCACCACAATGCCTCAGTCTTGCAAGGGACAGATGCAGCATAATTACGTTTCCTCTCTGCGCTGAGGGACACTGTGTAAGGGATTATTTATCCCTCTTCCTTGCTTTTGGCTTCATAGATTATTTATCCTTCCTCCTTGCCTGTGACATGTTAAATGAATATGCATGTGAGTAGCTGGACAGTCTTTTTATATAGGAGAGAACCTTTCTGAAACGGCTGCTGCAGATAAGCATGAGTGCATTGTAAATTGGAAAAATATTGTGGACAGAACCTCCTGTCCTTTATTGTTGGCATCAACAGACAGAGACAAAAATATTCCCAAGATTTACTTTTTCTTGGTAATCTATACGCCAAGCTTCTAGACACCTTTGAAAGACACCAACACTTTTGATTAGTGAGTCTTCTAGATCAATACAGATAGATAAATTGCTTCAAATTCTCCCAACCAAGTACCCCTGAATATCCATATAGGCCTGTTTTTACTTCTGATAGTCTTCACTGACAAAAAAAAAAAAAAAAAAAGGTATATAAAAAAGCACTCTTGCTGTTGTGGTCTGGAATTCCAGGGTAAACTGACTGAGAGAATTTGGTCACACAAACATAAACTTTGATTTCTTTAGGGCCTCCTTTTTATAGAAACTGCTGAGTTTATTGGTGCTATCTTGCTATCTGTCAAGATAATTTAAATATCTCTCCTAATTATTCAATAAATGAATTATATCAGTAGAGAGGGAATTTTGACCAAGGTGATTACTTGATCAGTAACTAATAAATAACTCATGCCTACTCTGAGACAACACTGATCTCAGAGGTTTGCTATTGTGAGACGGAAGGATTTCCCTCTTCTTGATTTCATTTGAACCACTTTAAAGTGATTGAGGAGAATGAAGGTTTTAGTACAAAATAGACAGTTGCACAAACTGTATGTGCTTATTGGTTTCATTATATCTAATACGCTAATGAGACTAAAGTTCTTACATTGCAGTACAAGGATATTTCTGCCCTGAAAGGCTACTGACTTTTTTTTCTCTCAATACAACAAACTGTTCCAAATATTTATTCATAAATTCTAATTTTTCTATTCTTAAAAATTGAGGGTGTTTTTTTTTCACAAACTTTTACAGCTTTTATTACAATAGGAGAGTACAAAGAATACATCATACTCGAATCAGGGAAAGCACAAATAAATCAGTTTTTCTGCTGCCTGGGAAGTTGTTGTCTCTAAGAGGTTTAGTAAAGGAAGGGCCTAAAATCCTGATAAGTTATTGGGAATATTTTCAGTCTTCAGTACTTTTGATTTAGGCTCCAAGTAAACTCAGAGGAAAATCAGTGTTCAGTGGATCAGCAGAAGAATTTCAAGAGGCTGAAAGTAAGAACAATGTAAATCTGGCATTCACCTATGGATGCCACACTTTTTGGATAAACGAAGGATTTATTTCATCAGAGCTGTCCATATATCTTTTAAGAGCAACAGAACCAAGACACAAAAGCTCAGTGAAAAGAACTCAGCAGTTAGCCCAGATCTCTGTAAAGGGATAGGCAACATGAGCTCTTTGTGTGCCCATCACTTGTAATCACCTTCTCCGTCAAGTATCTTTTAAATGTGTTGAGCAATTTCAAACAAATTTGACAGAGAAGTAGTTGACTCAAACAAAAAGGTTATGAAAAATATGGATAGGCAACTGGGCACAGGAGCACTTCTTCCAAACCAGAATACTCTAAAACATTTGTACTGTTATTAATAACTTCATTGAGACTGGGGTTCTAATCTGAAAAAACAAATCAAGAAAGTTTTCCATATCTATTTTGTACACACTGAAACTTACTGAAAACCTTCAAGTCTTTATTCACTCATTCTAAAACTATAAAAATAACTTTGAGAGAATTATATATATATAATTCAGTTAATACTGTGATTCTACATTATTTTCATCACAAGACTGGTGCTATTGTTAACTCTTGTATTCAGAACAATATATATGTTGTTATGTTTAACTTTGTTATGTGTATTAATACAAAATTGAAACACATTATGCTGAACATGTATTTCTTCAGTTTCATAATTTCATAAAAGTTTTTCTTCTAGAGGTATAAACTATAGTGCTGGGCATATAGAAATATATTAGAATAGAAACAACTTACAGTTAAGCATAATATACCTGCTGTTTATTCTACAGTTTCTGAATTCTGTTTCTTCTTCTGCATGAGTTTATTCCTGAATTACTACTCTAAAGGACATTTGTACCATGATCAAAACATTTTAAAAGAGAAAATTATGTTTATTTTGAGAAGTAAAGTTAACAAAACTTACAGGTCTGGTAGCAATTATACAGAAAGAAAAACAAAATTAAATTCTAATATGATCCTTGATTTAAAGGAGAATGTGATTAAACGTAATTTTCCCTCAGTAACCAGTAATCAGAAGAGATGCAGATGTCAGTTCTTTCTTATTACCCTTTAGGAAGCTATGCAGATTGTAATAAGGAGAACTCTTACTTTTATTCCATTGCTTAACCACTATCATCTACAGCCGTACACAAATCATACAAGGTCAGAAGAACACAATAGGTTTGTTTATTTATTTTTATAGCATTGAGACAATCATAGAATGGTTTAGTCAGAAGTAGTCCTAATGAATAGGAACCTGGTATCTGAACTACTGGATATAACTACAATAAGCAAAAAAATATAATTTTATTCACACAGATTAAATGTTCAGATAAGTCTAAATATACTTTTACTTAATAAAAGAAACCCCATCTGCATCTTCCTCCCTGTATTATGTTACAAACATTTTCTTGGTGGTGTCACGCTCTTCAGTGAATCACCACTGCTCTCTTCAAACTATTCATGGCAATCTAAGAAAGATGCATCTCCCTGAAGACTGAAATGTCTCCTTGCCCAGACTCTTTCTCCCCTGGTTCACTGTCTCACAGCTTAACAACCTGAAGTAATCAAGCACATACACATACCCAACATAGCTCCTCAGGCTGGGTTCAGAGTTGGATGCATTCTCAACAGGCAGCATGTATGTGCCAGTACCATTCAGGAGATATCTCAGGAGGTGGACACCTGTCCAAAATATACCAGTTTGAGAAGTATAATAGAAAGAAAACCATCCATTGCATCATGTGTATGTACCAAAAGCCATGAAAACATGGGCCAATACACACAAAAGAACATTTATCCTAGCCCTGCTGGACACATGAGTGAACATTTTCAAGTGTGAGCATCTCCATTTTAACACCAGCTTGAAACTTAAGACTGTTCTCAGTTCTGTTACCACAGCACAGAGAAAAGAGAAAGCAAATGTGAACAGGAAGTTACAAATGAGCGATGAAAGAAACAATGCAACAAAGGACTTGAATAGCAAAGGAAAGAATTAATGCTGTACAGTATCTGAGGTTGAAGGTACAAAACTAACAGATTTAGTCTGTTATCATGCCTTACACAAAGCCTTTTGGTTTCATAATTATAACTTTCCCATGAGGCCTGTATGTGATCTGTTTCCCCGAAACTCAGTAAAACAAAGACTACAGATGGCTTTCTTTGATAAGTACAATTATTGAAGAATAAAGTACACAGTGCCAATTCATTAGTTCTGAGGTCTTCATATGGGTTCTGTAAAAGATATATCTGGATACAAGTCTGTCTACATAGGATGTGTTTTGAAAATGATAGGATATTGAATTGGGCTTTAATATATAAAATACATTTTAATTATTTAATCATCAGTCAT